CCGCCGCCGCCCAAGAAGCGATTCACAACATGGCAGGATACCATGGAGTCGCCGGCTCCCCAACACCGAGTTTCGGGGGTTTACGGACTCTCGAACGAGGTTCCCGGGGCCGATTGGCGCGACGTGGACTGGGATGCGACTCCACCGCCGGGGCCTGGAAGGCCCGGCGCCCGCGACGTGGATCCCAGGCTCACGGTCCCCCTTGATCTCCAACATGATGAACAGATCAGGGAATTCTTCCGAGGCGGTGGTGAGCATACGCTCGAGCAGCTCCTCGCGTTGGCGCGGCGCCGGAGGCGCGCGTTCGTCTACCAGGCTGCGATTTTGTCGAACAGGCCAGTGTTTGAAATCTGGCCCGATTACGATGAAAACGAGCTTGGACCGACACCCGAGCGCGTTCCGCTCCTCACAGGCAAGGTCTGGCCTTGGGGCTGGTGGGATTGCTTTACTTGTGGGCGTGCGAACCCACCAGAACGCAATACCTGCCGGCACCATGATTCCGAGGAGCTCGGAGGTGCCCCCTGTGTGGGGATCTTCGAGGACAGCCTGTACTGGAGCACGCCGGTGGACCTGCGAACGGCGCCGGCGTGGTTCATCGAGGTCTGGCTCGATGAACATAAGGAACGCATAAAGGAGTACCTTTATGCGAAGCGTTCGGACGCGATCGCCGCCGCAATGTCCAACGCCTACTGGACCTGTGGGCGGGACACATGCCAAGAGAGGAACATGTTATGGCGCAAACTGTGCTTTAAGTGCAGTGGCCCTAAGTCGGGCGCGTCGTTCATAACCCACGGCATGCCGCCCCAGGAAGGCGACGATGAAGCTGCTTCTTCGTCGGAAGAGAGCGAGGGCACGAAGATGGAACGGATCGAGCGTTCCATCAACGCCGATCCCCTTGCGGAGCATGCGAGGAAATTCCTCCGCTCCGGACGGAAGAGGCTCCGCGCTGAAAAGCGCAGGCAGGCAGAGCTCTCTCAAGACTCTGCCCGAGCCTGGTGGAGCCAACCTTCCTCCGGGCGCGGTGCACCCAGTGGGGGCCGCAGCTCTGGCAGCAAGGGTGGTGGCAAAGGTGGTGGAAGGGGAAGCTCGAACCGCTACGGCAACCGAGGATGGTGGGCCGGAGGTGCTGCCGGACTGGCATACTCCTCCCGACTCGGCGAGCGTGCTGGGCAGCCCGCCCTCACGCTCCCACTGCGTGGCCCGGGTGGCCACAGAGTGGCGCCCGAGGCCCCTGCCGTTTCTTCTCGCCCCGCTGTCTCTTCCGGGCCCTCGAACCGTGGTGGGTTCCTTGGGGCCGTGCGCTCGATAGGCGCTGCGGTCTCCAGCTGGGCTCTCTCCAGGAGAGCGCGCAATCGCGCAGCCCACGCCACAACGGGCAACATTGGATGGAAGACGGGTTTGGTGGCCGCTGCGCTGGCGCCTACCCTCTTCACTGTTGAGCGCGGTGCCAGAGAGGTGGCACACGTGAGCCTCACTGCAGTTGCCACTGCGGCGGAGGACCTCATCGAGGAATCCTCTGGTATCCTCGTTCGGGGTGTCCGCGTGGTTGGCTTGACGGCCGTCGTCCTACTGTGGACGTTCGCGGCCGTAGTGCTGTGGTGGGCCGGACGTGTCGCCACTAACCGGCTAATGCACGCCATGAACGGTAACCCCTTTGGGAATGCTGTTCTGGTGTCGCTCGAAGGCCGGGAGGCTGTCTTTGAGGTTGCATCAAAGACTAAGGCCGGAGCACACAGGGTTCTTGTGAAGGTCGGGTCGGGCGCGGACGGCGCAGGCTGCGACTGCAAGGCATTCCTCAACGAGGGACGTTGTGGTCACATAGAACGCGCTGTTGAAGCTGCGGGGCAACTCGTGGCCATGACAGGCGCGAGCGCTGCCCCAACGCTGTCCGTCGCCCCGGCCGCGACTAGACGCGCCCGTGCGATCCTCGGCGCGCCGGCCCTGGAACAGGGGTGCCTTGCCGGCATGGTGTCGAAAGCGAGATCGCTCTCTGAAAGAGCTCGGAATGTCGGGAACCCGTCCGAGGGTTGCCTTGACGGCTTTACCAAGCTCAGAGGCCGCCACGAGGTGGCCACAGTGTCGGCGCCTCCGACAGAGACTGTTCCGAAGACGCCTGCAGCGGAGGCTTCCCGCCAGGGTACCTCTGCGGCGTCTCCGGCTCCGACAGCTCCCATGTCGAGCCAGGCACGGCGTGTCAGAGACTTCCCGATCCCTGACGGCTTCGAGCGAGCCGGGGTCAAGTTTCTGACCCTTCCGGAGTATCACGCTGTGGTACAAACGATGCTATCGGACGCTGGGCATGGGGACCACGTTTACGTGCGAGCCTACAGCTTCGATAGCAAGCCTTTGGTTGGAGCCCTCGTGTCCTCGCTGGAGCGAGGCGCCCGAGCCCACGTGCTTGCCGACAACTCGCAGACGAGCCGGACCAAGCTCCAGCTGCAGTCCCTCAAGGAGCTAGGGGCGGCTGGCGTCCAGGTCCGTGTCGGCAAGGGCACCTCGGTCAAGGCGGCTTACGCCGCCGAGAACCGCACGGACGTGAGCATCGGCGCAGGCCTCGCGGGCATCCACCACGCCAAGACGGTGCTCGTGACGAGGCCGGACTCCACAGTTAGCGCCGTGATAGGAAGCCTAAACTTTAGTGCTAGTTCACGGGCCAACGCGGAGGTCGGCATCGCGGTCGCCAGTGTGCTGACCTCTGAATTTAGCCAAAAGTGGCTAGATTCGTTTGGCACCGAGTGGTCCAAGGCGCTGAAGCTCGAGGAGTTCGAAGCACCTCAGCGGAACCACCGCGGGCGGGCAAAACCCTCAAATGTCCAGCAGCCCGCCGCGCAACCCAACGTGGAGCCGCAGTGACCGTGGACTAGAAGTCGCGGACTGCGCTCCGCCCTTCTAGCCACCTGTGGCAACTTCAGTTTTGGTCGCAGCACCTAGCTGCTTTCCGATGAGACGACAGGGTGGCGTATCCGCTCTACAGGTCTTTGACGGGAGCGGCTAGGGAGGCACGGTAGTGCTCCCGAAGCGCGTGGAGTAACGCCGCAGCTTCAGCTGCTCGTTTCACCAGCCCTGTGGCCGCAGTGCGGCGCAGGCTGTGTACAGTAGGAAACCAGAGCCTCGTGCAGCACAGGCCGTGAAAAACGAAGGTCTTGTGCTGAGTGCGAAGGGTTTGTAGGAGGGCAGGGTCTGTAGGTCAGTTTTACGGCCTCCGGCCGCCCGCGGAATCCTACGGCTCTATCGTGCTCTCGGCTGAGGGGCGAATGTAACTGTACATAGTCTGCGGGCTGGCTGTTGTGCTGTATGCTTTTATGCATGCTCTTCTGTAATTCGTATTCATAACATTTTTGGCTCAAGTGAGCACGGCAGTGTGTCGTTGGTAGCTTCTCGTTGCCGCGACGCAATTGCGCGCAGCCCGTCCTGGGCGGACGTTCGACCTGTCACGGTCGACTTTCTGCTTGGACGGAAAACGAGGGTGCGTGCTGCCTTTGGGTTTCCGTTCTCCACATACTACTACTACTACTACTGCTACTACTACTACTACTACTACTACTACTACTACTACTACTACTACTACTACTACTACTACTACTACTACTACGCTACTACTACTACTACTACTACTACTACTACTACTACTACTACTACTACTACTACTACTACTACTACTACTACTACACTGCTGCTACTACTACTACTACTACTCCTGCTACTACTGCTACTACTACTACTACTACTACTACTACTACTACTACTACTACTACTACTAATGGCAACTTAGGATTAGTAAACCCCCCCTGATTAAAGACACGCTTTGGGGGTCCGGCATTTGAGAAAAGGCAGGGGCAAAAGGAGTTTAGAAGGGCGACGACGACCCCCCAGAATAGTGGCCTCAGACCTTGAAAAAAACCCCCCAGATTAAAGCTGTTCTCCGCCTCAGGCCTAAACAAAAATGCAAAAGCGACGTGTTCACTGTCTAAACAGCAGGTTTTTATCGCTCAAGCAATGAGACGGTAGCTTCTGCCGGAAGGCAGCTACCGAGTGGAGGCGCAGCGACTACTGTCTGATATACCTACCCCAACCGATAAATTGGATGGGGGACCCTGCTCCAAGATTTCATGCCCGTGCAACAGAAAGTAGTGCAGCATGTGCAGCCGAAACCTTAGCACTTCCCAGACAGCTAATGCCTCACTTGAGTTTAACAGTTATCAGTACCAGGACCTAATTCTGAGTGTTTGAAAGGCTCATCGATTTCGAAAATTTCGGCTGCTGAGCACATGTCTTCAGACGGAGGTCTTTGTCGAGCCGGGCGAATGCGGCCTTCTATTTTTGGGACCTTGGGACCAAAAAACCCATAATAGCGAATAAATGTTCCCACCCGCCCAGCTACCGCAAGGAAGCTCGTTCGAGCTGAGACGCCTACAACCGAACCACAAGCAGTTATTCCTTACAAGCCGTTCAGGGGCCTTTGAAGCTGGAGCCCTCGAAATCACCACTCTTAAGGCATCTGTCTGCCTGACTTTGTGCTTCACGCCTGAGGTGGTAGCGCTGGCACTTCTAAATGAAAAAGAGAAACGGTGCCGACCAGTCGATGCTGCTCAGTCACCACAGGGCCGTGTTCCCAGTCAGCCTCGTATTGCTGCTGCTCCAAGAAAAAATGCGTCGAGATTAGTAAACCCCCCCTGATTAAAGCGGCGCTTTGGGGGTCCGGGATTTGAGAAAAGGTAGGGGCAAGAGGAGTTTAGAAGGGCGACGACGACCCCCCAGAATAGTGGCCTCAGACCTTGAAAAAACCCACCAGATTAAAGCTGTTCTCCGCCTCAGGCCTAAAAAAATGCAAAAGCGAGTCGAGAGCTGATGCCCAAAACAAACTCGTCGCAGCCCAAAGCCACCGCATGGCTTCCCCACCCATTACCATGGTTTGGTGTCGCAAACCGCCACGTGGTAGGGTGTCAGGCTGCTCAATCTCCACCTCCTCATCTACATCGATCTCAAGCCTGAGGCACCCCATGTTGAGCAGCATCTTTCGCTTCCTCTCCGGAGTGACACTGAACTGCTTCCGCTTCCACACCTTGTGGTTTTCGCCAGCAGACAGCGGGTGCAGAAAATTCCTCGGCGCCCACTGGGTCTTCTTCTGCGTGAGCGGCAACAGCAGCCCATCAGTCGCTTGGAGCCTCTGCGCGGCCTCAGGCCTCGAGTCCTAAGGAACTGCATTGCTTGGGGCCTCTTTACGGCCTGTGACCGCGAGCTCCAAGGTTTGGTGGCGCTTGCACCCAGTTAAGGAGCAGTCCGTGCTCTCTCTCCTCTCTCCTCTCCTTTCTCTCTCTCTTGCTTGTTTGCTTGCTGACGGGTATGGGGACCGGGGTCCCCTGGCCCGAAGGCCTACCCGCTCAACGGCTCGCGTCTGTCAGGTCTGTGTGGCCCCTTCCGGGGGTGGGAATGTTCCGTTCCCCCGTCTGTGCCTGTAAACCCCGCTCCCCCAAACAACCAAACCTCCTAAACCCTTCCCCTGACATACCTTGCAGGCGGCAGACGGGTCATCCGGGGCTCCCCAGTTCAACTATTTGTGGGCTTATGGCAGCTTGGTCACTCAACCGAGACGTCGCCCAGAAACATCAGTTAGTGGATATGATCAAACACACTCTTTTCTCTCTCTCTCTTCCCTCTCTTTCTTCGTCGTCGGCTACGGTTTGTTCGTGTTTGGCGACGGGGGCGTGCAGGTGACATTCAAGGGTTCCTGCACGACAACAACAGAGGGCAGCCCATCAGTCGCTGTGACTTTCTGCAAGCTGCCCGTCAAGCCGTAGCAAGCTTCTCCCCGCACGTCACTCACCACTCGGAACATTCAAGACGGAGGAGTGTCAGGCAAGGCCACAAGTGCAGACGTCGGAGCCGGAGCCGCCTGAGGCAAAACCACAAAGGCAGACGTCCGAGCGTCAGGCAGCATCTTGGGCCGGCCAAGTCTGAAAGATTTCGCCAGGAGCTCGGGTCAGTGCCTAGGACCCCTTCGTGGTCGTCTAAGGTGTGGACGACCACGCTCAAGAGGACAAGGGACAACACGACCACGACGACGGACGAGACGGCTCGTGGTCGTCTGAGTGTTTGTCCTCTTGGCCGTGGTCGTCTACTCCGCGGACGACCACGCCCCTCGATCGGCCGAGATCCGACCGACACCTGCCGGGCAAATCAATTGCAGGCGGCTGTTCTTATTAAAGGAACACAGCCTCAGCCAAACAGAGGCGTGGAAGACCACGCCCCTCTGTCGGGCAAGGTCCAACCGACGCCTGACGGGCAAGCCAGCTGCAAACGGCTTTTCTTGTGCAAGGGACACAGCCTCATCCAAACAGAGGCGTGGAAGACCACACCCCTCGGTCGGCCAAGGTCCGACAGACGCCTCACGGGCAAGTCAATTGCCAACGGATGTGTTCCCTTAATAAGGAAAAAAACGTTTGCAGTTGGCTTGCCCGTCAGGCGTCCGTCGAAACTGGGCCGACCGAGGGGCGTGGTCTTCTACGCCTCTCTGATAAAATCCCAAATTGGGCGCGTTAGGGTTTCGGGTTTAGGTCATCGTAAACCTTAAAGTGTTTCCCAGAGCTTCCAAAATGGCTGGGGAAAGCCAAAAACAAATTTTTCGGTGCCCGAAAATGCGTTTGTGGCTGTCTAACTAGGTATGTTGGCTCTTCAAATTTGGTCGTGTTTACTCTTTGACGGTTTGTGTGGAACCCCAAATTGGACGGGTTAGGGTTTCGGGTGGCGGGCGCAGCACGTGGAGTGGCAAGTTGAACCACTTGACATGCTGCGTTCTTAAATGGACGTGACATTGCATCTGCCACTGTCTGTGCAACACACTCTCTCTGGAGTTGTTCGTTCTTATAAACCTTTGGCCACTTCAGAAGCCACACATCTATAGAAGCGCAGCTCTGGAAACAAATGTGCACAAAATTACCAGCCATCAACTTGATTCCACTTCCAAACCATGCCTCTTCCAATCCATGCCACAGGCTCTTCCAATCCATGCCACCGATTCTACCACCAATTTCTTACAAACTTTCACCGCCAATCCAAATGCAAACTCTCTTCCCAATCCTTCCAAATCACAAGCTTTATCACCGGTCCAAGACGAACCAGATTACATTGCCAACTGCAACTCCATTCATTTATTTCCAAATCAAACAACTTACCTCTATTCTCCATTTGTTTGATAACACACCCAGCTGACGAACAGATTGTCCAGTTAACAGGGCTTACATTCTTAGATCTGTTTGGTGGAGCTTGCAGAGTCTAAAAAAGCCTTTTTTCGTAAGCTCTGGCCAAAGCTGGACTAACAAATTGTCTAAACTGTGTAATTATGCTAATAGACTGGCGGCCAGTATTTTTTCTTAAATAAAGATTTGCTAGCTCTAATCCGGCTAAGACTCTACTGGCAAATGGAGTGCCCTAACCAAGCAAAGAAAGGTGCTAAGACAGAAGAAATTGCAGCAAATCTAAAGGAGTCTGGCTGGTACGTTTCTGTGCGTGTTTTTCTGCGTCCATGCGAAGCTGGAGTGTGTCTGTGTGTGTTTCTTTATGTGTTGCTATGTGTTCATGTGTGTGTACGCGCAATCAACCTGTGTGTGTTTGTGTCTGTGTGCGTGTCTGTACGTGTGTGTGTGTGTGTGTGTGTCTGTGTCTCTGTGTGTGTGTGTGTGTCTGTGTCTGTGTGCGTGTCTATGCGTGTCTGTGTCTGTGTCTGTGTGTGTGTGTATGTGTGTGTGTATATGTGTGTGTGTGTGTGTATGTGTGTGTGTGTGTGGAAAAGCTGGGAGTGTGGGTGTGGGTGTGCCGTTTCAAAAAAAGTTGTTGCAGTCTTTTCCTTGGATCAAACTTTTTGGAACTGCTATGGCGCGAACAGCGACGACAGCAATGGCTGCTCGTTGGGAAGCTGGAGGGCAAGTTCAGATGGGTCCAGCAGGTCGTGATCGCAGAACTAGATCCAGAATTCCAAAGTCACGGCAACCTGGAGCTCGGAATGAGGAAGATGATCGGACGGAGCCAGCTTCTTCCTCCAGAGCAAAACCCATGAAGAGACCTGCGGCTGCAGCCTTGCAAGACATGTTTGAATCCAAAAATGAGGTGCCGCGACGTGCGTACACTGATCCTCGCCAGGAAAGTCCACAGCGAAAAAGAGGCAGACAAGCAACTTTGAGCAGATCGTCTTTGACCCAGCGTTTCTCTCTGGACGGCATTTTGACCTCTTCTCCCAAAAAACTGCTTGAAATTCTGATTGACTTGGGCATGGTGAAGGATGGAGGACTTGATGCTTGTGAATGGTGTGCAGCCACAAACTGGCGTATCGAGTCCAAGGGAGACCACGCCTGTTTTCGATGCAAGAACAAGGATTGTCGGGCATCTAAGTCGGGTTTGAGCGAAGACCAGGACATCTTCGGCAAAAAGATCGCCCTTCGTTCCTTGGTTGGTGCTCTCTGGCTGTTTCTTGCACCCATTCAGATGAGTCCAGATCAGACTGGATTGATCTTGGGTTTGGATCATCGGACAGTGCGGGGTCTCTTCAACAACTTCCGCTCTTGGTTGAGTCCAATAGTTGACCGGCTGAACGAGGACTGACAAACTTTCATGCTTGGCTTGATTCTTAAGGCCATGACAAGATTTACAAGTTGTAGTTACAACTTTAAGTGCTGGATGAAGGACTTGGTGATTGGTGCGTTGGGTGCAGATGTGGAGCTCGATGAGATTAGCTTCAGATCGCAGGCGCTTGACGACAAGATCCTGTGGAATCGTTATGCGGCAGCCGTCAAGCGTGGAAGTGCTAAAGTCTTCATAGAGAAGTTGCCGAACCGCTTGACTGCTGCTGGGCAGGGGGGAGGGGGACCTCTGTCCATTGATGAGCTTAAGAAGCTTGTAGTCACATCCAAGGGAAGCAGTCGCTTGGCACAAGGTTCTGTGTGCCATACGGATTCTGCTAAAGCTTACAAGAAGTTGGCCTCTGACGAACCGTTGCCAGCTTTGTACAGCGGTGCCTTGGCAGGGCCTTCGTTTTCTGAGTTGAAGCTAGCCCACAGCAACGTCAAGCATAAGCCGCCTCACCCAAAGTTTGCCCAGTTTGGACAGGGCGCGCTTGGACCGAAGAAATTAGGGTAGGTGGCACTCAGAAGCTTGATGGCTTCTTCGCATCGTTTAGAAGAGAAGTGGGCAAGCGGTCTTTCAACACAACAGGACCCACTCCTGAAACAGCGCAAACTTTCGAACAGCAGCTTCACGAAAGGATGCGGGTGTTTCAATTTTTGTTTTGGTTTTCCTATGCAGACTGTTTCCAAGTTTTCGCAGCACTTCGCCAAGCTGAGCGAACAGCTGTCGGAAGTGCTTCTTGGGAAACTCTAAAGCCATTTTTGGGTGATGGAAAGGCGCCAACTGCCGAAAACCCGCAACTTGTTGAAGGGCAAGTTGCAGGGGCAGCAGCTCCAAATGTCCAAGACATTCCGGCTGGTGGCGCTGATGTGCCCCCCGATGATGAGAATCCTTTTGCCGATCTCGAGAGTGAGCCCGAAGTTTGCGAAGTTTCGGATGCCGACACGTATGAAGGCATTCCAATTCGGTTGCTCAGCTGAAACCGCAATTGCGCCGCTGCCAGCGCAGAAATATGCTTTGCAGCTCTTCTATTTGAACTTTGCAAATTTTAGGACCTTTGGGACTTAGGATGTTCTGTTAGAGATATTGTTTTTATTTTTTGTGATAGCAAAAATGGGTTTTGGGCGCTTCGGCCAAGAAGTCAAAAGACCATACGTGGTTTTGAGAGTTTGGCTCTGACTTTAAAGGTGGTGTTGACTGTTCGGTCTCGCAGTCACAGCAGCAGACGTGCTTCTGAGAGACTTGACCTGAGACCCCAAGGTTTTGAGGCTGTGTTGACTGTCTGGACCCAAAGTCAAAGTAGCAGACGTGGTTCTGGGAGACTTGACCTGACAGGCGAAGGTTTTGAGGTGGTGTTGACTGTCTGGATTCGCAGTCGCAGTAGCAGACGTGTTTCGGGGAGACTTGACCTTGGAGTCCAAAGTCAAAGTGGCAGACGTGGTTATGGGAGACTTGATCTTAGAGGACAAGGTTTTGAGGCGGTGCTGACTGTCTGGACCCAAAGGCAAAGTAGCAGACGTGGTTTCTGGGAGACTTGACCTGACAGGCGAAGGTTTTGACGAGGTGTTTACTGTCTGGATTCGCAGTCGCAGTAGCAGACGTGTTTCGGGGAGACTTGACCTTGGAGTCCAAAGTCAAAGTGGCAGACGTGGTTATGGGAGACTTGATCTTAGAGGACAAGGTTTTGAGGCGGTGCTGACTGTCTGGACCCAAACTCAAAGTAGCAGACGTGGTTCTGGGAGACTTGACCTGACAGGCGAAGGTTTTGAGGTGGTGTTGACTGCCTGGATTCGCAGTCGCAGTAGCAGACGTATTTCGGGGAGACTTGACCTTGGAGTCCAAAGTCAAAGTGGCAGACGTGGTTCTGGGAGACTTGACTTTGGAGGCAGGTTTTAAGGCACAAATGTGGTGTTTGGAGGCCTGCCTTCCAGGCAAGGGGCTTGGCAACCAAGTCAAGGTGTGCGCCGCTCCAGGCGCCACGCCTTCAGAAAGGTGCGCCAAAGGAGCCGGCGGAGCGGTTTTGGGTGCGCTTGCCAGCGAAAAAGGGGGCGTGGCATCTGGAGCGGCGCGGCTGACGCGGGCGGCGCGGCGTTTTAAGTGGTTAAGTTTACCGCGCGCGACGCTGCGCCCGGCTTTCGGGTTTATGTCATCGTAAACCTTAACGTGTTTCCCAGAGCTTCCAAAATGGCTGGGGAAAGCCAAAAACGCATTTTCGGTGCCCGAAAATGCGTTTTTGGCTGTCTAACTAGGTCTGTTGGCTCTTCAACTGTGGTCGTGTTTACTCTTGACGGTGCGTGTAGAACCCCAAATTGGACGGGTTAGGGTTTCGGGTTTAGGTCATCGTAAACCTTAGAGTGTTTCCCAGAGCTTCCAAAATGGCTGGGGAAAGCCAAAAACGCATTTTCGGTGCCCGAAAATGCGTTTTTGGCTGTCTAACTAGGTCTGTTGGCTCTTCAACTGTGGTCGTGTTTACTCTTGACGGTGCGTGTAGAACCCCAAATTGGACGGGTTAGGGTTTCGGGTGGCGGGCGCAGCACGTGGAGTGGCAAGTTGAACCACTTGACATGCTGCGTTCTTAAATGGACGTGACATTGCATCTGCCACTGTCTGTGCAACACACTCTCTCTGGAGTTGTTCGTTCTTATAAACCTTTGGCCACTTCAGAAGCCACACATCTATAGAAGCGCAGCTCTGGAAACAAATGTGCACAAAATTACCAGCCATCAACTTGATTCCACTTCCAAACCATGCCTCTTCCAATCCATGCCACAGGCTCTTCCAATCCATGCCACCGATTCTACCACCAATTTCTTACAAACTTTCACCGCCAATCCAAATGCAAACTCTCTTCCCAATCCTTCCAAATCACAAGCTTTATCACCGGTCCAAGACGAACCAGATTACATTGCCAACTGCAACTCCATTCATTTATTTCCAAATCAAACAACTTACCTCTATTCTCCATTTGTTTGATAACACACCCAGCTGACGAACAGATTGTCCAGTTAACAGGGCTTACATTCTTAGATCTGTTTGGTGGAGCTTGCAGAGTCTAAAAAAGCCTTTTTTCGTAAGCTCTGGCCAAAGCTGGACTAACAAATTGTCTAAACTGTGTAATTATGCTAATAGACTGGCGGCCAGTATTTTTTCTTAAATAAAGATTTGCTAGCTCTAATCCGGCTAAGACTCTACTGGCAAATGGAGTGCCCTAACCAAGCAAAGAAAGGTGCTAAGACAGAAGAAATTGCAGCAAATCTAAAGGAGTCTGGCTGGTACGTTTCTGTGCGTGTTTTTCTGCGTCCATGCGAAGCTGGAGTGTGTCTGTGTGTGTTTCTTTATGTGTTGCTATGTGTTCATGTGTGTGTACGCGCAATCAACCTGTATGTGTTTGTGTCTGTGTGCGTGTCTGTACGTGTGTGTGTGTGTGTGTGTGTCTGTGTCTCTGTGTGTGTGTGTGTGTGTCTGTGTCTGTGTGCGTGTCTATGCGTGTCTGTGTCTGTGTCTGTGTGTGTGTGTATGTGTGTGTGTATATGTGTGTGTGTGTGTGTATGTGTGTGTGTGTGTGGAAAAGCTGGGAGTGTGGGTGTGGGTGTGCCGTTTCAAAAAAAGTTGTTGCAGTCTTTTCCTTGGATCAAACTTTTTGGAACTGCTATGGCGCGAACAGCGACGACAGCAATGGCTGCTCGTTGGGAAGCTGGAGGGCAAGTTCAGATGGGTCCAGCAGGTCGTGATCGCAGAACTAGATCCAGAATTCCAAAGTCACGGCAACCTGGAGCTCGGAATGAGGAAGATGATCGGACGGAGCCAGCTTCTTCCTCCAGAGCAAAACCCATGAAGAGACCTGCGGCTGCAGCCTTGCAAGACATGTTTGAATCCAAAAATGAGGTGCCGCGACGTGCGTACACTGATCCTCGCCAGGAAAGTCCACAGCGAAAAAGAGGCAGACAAGCAACTTTGAGCAGATCGTCTTTGACCCAGCGTTTCTCTCTGGACGGCATTTTGACCTCTTCTCCCAAAAAACTGCTTGAAATTCTGATTGACTTGGGCATGGTGAAGGATGGAGGACTTGATGCTTGTGAATGGTGTGCAGCCACAAACTGGCGTATCGAGTCCAAGGGAGACCACGCCTGTTTTCGATGCAAGAACAAGGATTGTCGGGCATCTAAGTCGGGTTTGAGCGAAGACCAGGACATCTTCGGCAAAAAGATCGCCCTTCGTTCCTTGGTTGGTGCTCTCTGGCTGTTTCTTGCACCCATTCAGATGAGTCCAGATCAGACTGGATTGATCTTGGGTTTGGATCATCGGACAGTGCGGGGTCTCTTCAACAACTTCCGCTCTTGGTTGAGTCCAATAGTTGACCGGCTGAACGAGGACTGACAAACTTTCATGCTTGGCTTGATTCTTAAGGCCATGACAAGATTTACAAGTTGTAGTTACAACTTTAAGTGCTGGATGAAGGACTTGGTGATTGGTGCGTTGGGTGCAGATGTGGAGCTCGATGAGATTAGCTTCAGATCGCAGGCGCTTGACGACAAGATCCTGTGGAATCGTTATGCGGCAGCCGTCAAGCGTGGAAGTGCTAAAGTCTTCATAGAGAAGTTGCCGAACCGCTTGACTGCTGCTGGGCAGGGGGGAGGGGGACCTCTGTCCATTGATGAGCTTAAGAAGCTTGTAGTCACATCCAAGGGAAGCAGTCGCTTGGCACAAGGTTCTGTGTGCCATACGGATTCTGCTAAAGCTTACAAGAAGTTGGCCTCTGACGAACCGTTGCCAGCTTTGTACAGCGGTGCCTTGGCAGGGCCTTCGTTTTCTGAGTTGAAGCTAGCCCACAGCAACGTCAAGCATAAGCCGCCTCACCCAAAGTTTGCCCAGTTTGGACAGGGCGCGCTTGGACCGAAGAAATTAGGGTAGGTGGCACTCAGAAGCTTGATGGCTTCTTCGCATCGTTTAGAAGAGAAGTGGGCAAGCGGTCTTTCAACACAACAGGACCCACTCCTGAAACAGCGCAAACTTTCGAACAGCAGCTTCACGAAAGGATGCGGGTGTTTCAATTTTTGTTTTGGTTTTCCTATGCAGACTGTTTCCAAGTTTTCGCAGCACTTCGCCAAGCTGAGCGAACAGCTGTCGGAAGTGCTTCTTGGGAAACTCTAAAGCCATTTTTGGGTGATGGAAAGGCGCCAACTGCCGAAAACCCGCAACTTGTTGAAGGGCAAGTTGCAGGGGCAGCAGCTCCAAATGTCCAAGACATTCCGGCTGGTGGCGCTGATGTGCCCCCCGATGATGAGAATCCTTTTGCCGATCTCGAGAGTGAGCCCGAAGTTTGCGAAGTTTCGGATGCCGACACGTATGAAGGCATTCCAATTCGGTTGCTCAGCTGAAACCGCAACTGCGCCGCTGCCAGCGCAGAAATATGCTTTGCAGCTCTTCTGTTTGAACTTTGCGAATTTTAGGACCTTTAGGACTTAAGATGTTCTGTTAGAGATTTTGTTTTTAGTTTTTGTGATAGCAAAAATGGGTTTTGGGCGCTTTGGCCAAGAAGTCAAAAGACCATGCGTGGTTTTGAGAGTTTGGCTCTGACTTTAAAGGTGGTGTTGACTGTTCGGTCTCGCAGTCACAGCAGCAGACGTGCTTCTGAGAGACTTGACTTGAGACCCCAAGGTTTTGAGGCTCTGTTGACTGTCTGGACCCAAAGTCAAAGTAGCAGACGTGGTTCTGGGAGACTTGACCTGACAGGCGAAGGTTTTGAGGTGGTGTTGACTGTCTGGATTCGCAGTCGCAGTAGCAGACGTGTTTCGGGGAGACTTGACTTTGGAGTCCAAAGTCAAAGTAGCAGACGTGGTTATGGGAGACTTGACCTTAGAGGACAAGGTTTTGAGGCGGTGCCGACTGTCTGGACCCAAAGTCAAAGTAGCAGACGTGGTTCTGGGAGACTTGACCTGACAGGCGAAGGTTTTGAGGTGGTGTTGACTGTCTGGATTCGCAGTCGCAGTAGCAGACGTGTTTCGGGGAGACTTGACTTTGGAGTCCAAAGTCAAAGTGGCAGACGTGGTTATGGGAGACTTGACCTTAGAGGACAAGGTTTTGAGGCGGTGCTGACTGTCTGGACCCAAAGTCAAAGTAGCAGACGTGGTTCTGGGAGACTTGACCTGACAGGCGAAGGTTTTGAGGTGGTGTTGACTGCCTGGATTCGCAGTCGCAGTAGCAGACGTATTTCGGGGAGACTTGACCTTGGAGTCCAAAGTCAAAGTGGCAGACGTGGTTCTGGGAGACTTGACTTTGGAGGCAGGTTTTAAGGCACAAATGTGGTGTTTGGAGGCCTGCCTTCCAGGCAAGGGGCTTGGCAACCAAGTCAAGGTGTGCGCCGCTCCAGGCGCCACGCCTTCAGAAAGGTGCGCCAAAGGAGCCGGCGGAGCGGTTTTGGGTGCGCTTGCCAGCGAAAAAGGGGGCGTGGCATCTGGAGCGGCGCGGCTGACGCGGGCGGCGCGGCGTTTTAAGTGGTTAAGTTTACCGCGCGCGACGCTGCGCCCGGCTTTCGGGTTTATGTCATCGTAAACCTTAACGTGTTTCCCAGAGCTTCCAAAATGGCTGGGGAAAGCCAAAAACGCATTTTCGGTGCCCGAAAATGCGTTTTTGGCTGTCTAACTAGGTCTGTTGGCTCTTCAAATTTGGTCGTGTTTACTCTTGACGGTGTGTGCAGAACCCCAAATTGGACGGGTTGGGGTTTCGGGTTTAGGTCATCGTAAACCTTAACGTGTTTCCCAGAGCTTCCAAAATGGCTGGGGAAAGCCAAAAACGCATTTTCGGTGCCCGAAAATGCGTTTTTGGCTGTCTAACTAGGTCTGTTGGCTCTTCAACTGTGGTCGTGTTTACTCTTGACGGTGTGTGTAGAACCCCAAATTGGACGGGTTAGGGTTTCGGGTTTAGGTCATCGTAAACCTTAGAGTGTTTCCCAGAGCTTCCAAAATGGCTGGGGAAAGCCAAAAACGCATTTTCGGTGCCCGAAAATGCGTTTTTGGCTGTCTAACTAGGTCTGTTGGCTCTTCAACGGTGGTCGTGTTTACTCTTGACGGTGTGTGTGGAACCCCAAATTGGACGGGTTAGGGTTTCGGGTTTAAGTCATCGTAAACTTTAAAGTGTTTCCCAGAGCTTCCAAAATGGCTGGGGGAAGCCAAAAACGCATTTTCGGTGCCCGAAAATGCGTTTTTGGCTGTCTAACTAGGTCTGTTGGCTCTTCAAATTTGGTCGTGTTTACTCTTGACGGTGTGTGCAGAACCCCAAATTGGACGGGTTAGGGTTTCGGATTCAAATCATCGTAAACCTTAAAGTGTTTCCCAGAGCTTCCAAAATGGCTGGGGGAAGCCAAAAACGCATTTTCGGTGCCCGAAAATGCTTTTTTGGCTGTCTAACTAGGTCTGTTGGCTCTTCAAATTTGGTCGTGTTGACTCTTGACAGTGTGTGCAGAACCCCAAATTGGACGGGTTGCGGTTTCGGGTTTAATCATCGTAAACCTTAACGTGTTTCCCAGAGCTTCCAAAATGGCTGGGGAAAGCCAAAAACGCATTTTCGGTGCCCGAAAATGCGTTTTTGGCTGTCTAACTAGGTTTGTTGGCTCTTCTACTGTGGTCGTGTTTACTCTTGACGGTGTGTGTGTAGAACCCCCAATTGGACGGGTTAGGTTTTCGGGTTTAGGTCATCGTAAACTTTAAAGTGTTTCCCAGAGCTTCCAAAATGGCTGGGGAAAGCCAAAAACGCATTTTCGGTGCCCGAAAATGCGTTTTTGGCTGTCTAACTAGGTCTGTTGGCTCTTCAAATTTGGTCGTGTTTACTCTTGACGGTGTGTGTGGAACCCCAAATTGGACGGGTTAGGGTTTCGGATTCAAATCATCGTAAACCTTAAAGTGTTTCCCAGAGCTTCCAAAATGGCTGGGGGAAGCCAAAAACGCATTTTCGGTGCCCGAAAATGCGTTTTTGGCTGTCTAAGTAGGTCTGTCGCCTCTTTTAATTTTGTCGTGTTTGCTATTGAATGCTATTGACGGTCTGTAGAACCTCAAAATGGAGGGGTTATTAGGGTTTAGGTCATTGTAAACCTTAAAGTGAAGCTACACACTGCGCTGTTGGGTTGCATCTTCCAGGGCGGGGAGAGGACATCTTAAACGACTGTTGAAGCCTGATTCTGTTTCCCAGAGCTTCGAAAATGGCTAGGGAAAGCAAAAGCGGCATTTTGGAGGCCCGAAAATGCGTTTTTGGCTGTCTAAGTAGGTCCACCGGCTCTAATTTATTTTACGGTGTAAAGAACCCAAATTGAACGGTTTAGGGTTTCGGGTGTAGGTCATCCTAAACATTAAAGTAAACCTAAACCCGAAACCCGAAAGGGGCATCTTCCAGGATAGACCGAACATCTTAGAAGACTTGTGAAGCCAATTCCGATCACAACAAGCTTCGAAAAACGCTACTGCAAGTCAAGCCAAAAAAGCATGTTAGCGTTTCGGGTTTGGGGTGTTTCAAGGTTGGGTTCAGACTTTAATAAAATAGTTAAACCCGAAACCCTAAGCTACCAACCCTAGGCCCTGATTCCTGCGACGGCGGCGGTTTCAAGCCACACGATTCATCGAGTTACCATGCATCACCACAATCAAGCGGAGCCTGGGGCCCCGACTGCGGAGCTGCTTAGCTCCAACACACGGCTTGGGCCGCACACATTACTATTTCAGGGGGTCGCACAGCTGAAACAAACAAGCACCACTCAGACAAAACGAGCTACCTTGCGGGGGGGGGGGGAGGGGGGGGGGTTTATTAATCCTAAGTTCCCATTAAACGCAGGGGGCCTCGAAGCTTCTGGAAGTCGAGCCCCATGCCCTGTCCCACTTACCACTCCATTAGCTTGTCTCAGGTGAGCAACTCTTGCTCTGGTGACCTGAGCTTGCAACAAGCATACTTCCGCGATGAGGTCCAGTCGGGTGGCCGTTAGCCAGAGAAGTCCACCAAGAATGGACCGAAACTGGGTGACCTCCTTGGGCGAAAGCACCTCTTCGTCCTTTCTGGAGTTGTCAATCTCGGCGGGCTTGAGCTTGATCGCGAAGTGGTCCTGAGTCATCCGGAATCCTTCTGGTATGCGCTCGTAGAGCACGCCGCAGTGACTGAATGGCAATGTCTGCCTTGTAACCTTGCCAAACTTGGTTTGGAGAAGGAGCAGTTGCTGGCTGAGCCATTCCTTCTTGCCACCTGCGCCGCAGTCATCGACGTGAGTAGTGACGACCGAGGTCGTTCTCCCGGTGCGTTCATCACGCCAAAAGAAGAGGTTCTCGTCGAGCTTGGACGCTGTGCCACCTTCTGACTCAAAGTGTCCATGGAGACAGAGCTGCCAGGCAAGGGGCGCATCGGACAAGCCGTAGACCGGCTTCAGGCATAGCAGCACATAGTCGCCGATCCTTTCGAAATCGATGCGAAACTTCGGGTCAAACGACGCGAGGTGCAGCCACACATTGGCGGGAGCCAATATGACCACTTTCCTCACAGGTGAGGTCACTCCCCTCGCTCGAAGAAGCTCTCTAACGCGCTCGAAGGTGAGTCCCTTCAAGAATGCCCCTCCGATGTCCCAGCTCTCAACATCCAGGTCCTCATTGGCCGAAACTGACAGGACCGTCCTCTGGGAAAGCCGGGTGGCCGTCGTGGATCTCGTAGTCAGGAGGTCCTTCTGCTGATCGAAGCATCCACGTGCGCGCATAACCTTGACTTCACCTTCCTGGAACCGTCAGGCATGCGCTTCCATTTCCTGACCCACACGCTGTCCACGATGACGGTGTCATCCGTGAGGGAGTTGACGTGCGTCTTCTAGAAGCTGCCCGTGTCGACAAACTGCTTGATCTCCGCCGCGTCGGCCTGGGGCCAGATGCCGTAGCACTCGTCTTCTGTAATGTTGTCGGCCTCGTCGTCAACTTTGTAGATCTCGCCGTTGGACAGGTCGGCGTACAGCTCTTTATATCGTTTCCCAGGCCATGTGAAGAGGAAGGGTCGCTTCTGGTGCTCGGGAATCCGAGAGACGTCGGAGTTCCGGGACATGAAGATGTCCCACTGGGCCAGCTGCACATTGTTGTCGTTTCCATACCAGACCATAGGAAAGTCCGTAGGGATGGCCTGGCACCAGTGCATGGACCAGCAAAGGTTCACCAGGTTGTGCTGGGCCTTGCTGAGCACCTTCTCCTGCATGAGGCACTCCAGGGGTAGACCCAGTCTTCCTCGCTTCGATTCCGGAGCCAAGACGACCGTCCGGGTATCAGGTCCTTTCCGCTTATAGTTGTTGTGGCCGTCGTCCTCCGTGTCGTCCGTTGGCGAGTCTGCGAACACTCGACTTGGCCTCCGAAGACGTCGACATAGGTGATGTGGGTGACGCTGAGGACGGAGTGGTCGGCTCCGTGATTTCCATGTCTTCCCCAGCCGCACCTTCCGAAGGAATCACTCTCATGGGAGCTTCTGGCCGGTACTCCACATTGACGAAGAAGTAGACGTAGGCGAAGCAGACCTGATCCACCAGTATGGTCGTGACCTTCTTGACCGTGATGGGCTTGTCGTTGTTGTGCTCCAGACTGGAGTGCTCCACCGATCCGCATTTCCAGAAGAGCATCACTCCGCACGATCCGGCGGAGGTTGAAGTTGACGCACGCCTTGGCCAATCATGATTCCACCGACCGCATGCCTGGAGAGTCCGGAAGCCAGCCTCGCGATCTTCGGCCACACGTCCACGTAAGCCAAGGAACTGGTGGACGATCGCCTCCACATAGTGAGGTCGCCCTTCTCCTCAGGTACCCAGCCAATGATCGTCACCTTGTACAGGGACAGCTTTTCCGTCATCGACTTTATCTCCATCAGGTCGCCGACTTGATCCTTGCACAGAACCACAAACACTCCGGCCTGATGAGGGCGAATATGACGGAGCGACACCAGGTAGGGGCGGCCTTGGTAAGAGAGGATCGCTGTGCCCTCTTCCATGTTGATCTTGAGAAGCTCGGCAGGGCCGCGCCATCCAATGTCACCTTGAGTCTCGGGAAGCATTTCCCCAATCTTGAGCTGCTGGGTTCGAGTGCGATTGGCTCTCGCGATCCGATCCTCAGCCACTGCTCTCTGGACCATTGACAGGGCCATCTGTCTGATGCGGATCGCCTTCTCAAAGGGCGTGACATCAGTTTGTAGGGCGCCAACTACGCTCGTCACCCCTGTGCTGTCGTCCTGGTAGAACGGACGAGGAATCACTCCGAACACGCACATGCTGGGAGTCGCGCCACCGTAGTTGAGGCTGAGGTTGTGGGACATGGCCGACTCCTTGGCTAGGTCGTTCACCGTGATTGCGATTCCTTGCCTGTCGAGTTCGGCTTCCAGCTTTAGCATGGTGATCTCCATTAGTCCAACATGTCGTTCGACTAGCCCAGTGCCAGTGTGCTGTTGGCCAGCCGGTCCTGCCGTGGTGCCTTTGGGAACTCTCTCGACACAGAACCGTTCCATTTCTCGGCCTGCTTCATGTCCCATGAGGCTCGTCTCCTGGTCCATCACCAGCTGTGCCGGTGGGCCAAAGATCGAAAACCAGGAATCGAACATGCAGTTGAGGAGCTCCTGGTGTTCCCTAGACTTCACTGCCACGGCTGTAGCGGGTGGCCTCGTCGACATTGAGGAGTATCCACGTCTCCTTGTGCATGAAGAGGTCGATCTGCACCCGGTGATTGAAAGACGAGGCGGCTGACCCGATCTTCACCTGGGGCCGGTTCGGCAATCTCACATACTTTCTGCACACCGAACAGCTCATCACCGCTTCTTCGGGTAAGGGAAGAATTTCCGAAGACATCCCGGCTCTGAGCAGCATGTTCTTGAAGTCGGTGATCGGGCAGTGGCCGGCAGTGGTAAAACCGTTCATGGAGGCCGAGCAGCAGACGCTTGGCGGTGAGCGGGTCTCGCTCGACAATGTCACTCTGCAATCTCTTGTACACCTTCTTGAAGTCGAACAACGGCTTCAGGGTCCTGGTTCTTCTTCTGCTTCCGGTCGAACTGCTTCAAAGTCTTCGCCAACCGGTTCATCGCTTTCCTGGGCTGGCTTATCAGCTGACTCAGCAGGAGGTTGCGCCGGCAAAGAAGGCGATGGCGATTTCCTCCCACCATTTTCTTTTTCGACCGGAACCATAGGCGCCGCAGGCCTGGAAGAGGCAGAAGCCGACCCGGGAACCGCACGATCAACTTCCATGTCGTCGCTGCAGAAGCCAAACAGGTGCACATATGCCAGTCCGCCTCCTCGACCTTGGCGTGCAGTTGACTATGAGAGAGCACGCGCATATCCTCCAAGTGATGCACTTCCCAAGCTTTGATCTCGCTGCTGATCAGGAGGCGCATGGTGGGCGCGCAGGCCGAACTCAAGTAGGGGTCTGGCACTTTCCGCTGCCAGGGCCGCAATGAGACCAAAACGCCGAGGACATTCATGACGTCCTGAAAAACATCCTGGTAAACCCTCAGCAAGACTGGGTCCGCGAGCCAGTGGTCGTATTCCTTGGAGGTGCTGTTCTGAAAGAGGTCGATGCAGGACTCGATGAGTTGCATCATCGCCGCCTTGAGGTACAGCTGCGACTCTACCTTGATGGTGAGGGAAGGATGTACCTGAATGGACACGCGCGAGTAGTCACCATTGCGTGCCAAAAACTTGAAAGGGCCAGTGATGTCCTCCAAGTCAGAGCGAGCCATGCGGGAAGCAATCGCCGGTGAAGAGCTCTCGGCTTGTGTGCCAGATGACGCGGCTGCTCCAGAACTCGCAGAACCGGAGGGTGTTGACGGCGTGGTCGTAGCTGGCTGAGGTGGTGCATCACGTCGTGCCCGGGCTTGTTGCATAGATGGCTGCCCGTAGCGACATTCGCCTGGTACCATCGTGTGCTCGCAGCCAGGCGGGGCCGCTCTTCCAAGTTGACATCGTTCACAGGTGTAGTAAATGCTGTGGGCCCAGAACAAGGTTAGCGGCCAAGGTGGGCAGACAGATGCCCGGTCGGCACGAAGCATAGCCCATAGGTCCTGACCCATGAGCTGAGTCATCCTTTTAGGGTACACCGCAGCCATAGCCGTACGACAGCAGCCTTTGACTCGGCTTTGAAGTTCGCCATGTGGTGCTCCCTTGTGGCCGTTGCATCGCTTGAGGGTGCCCAGCGTCGGTTGCTGAGGAATGCCGTCGCCTTCCTGATGGGCCGTTGGCACTCATCCACTGCACCCAGCATACATTGATCCATGCGTTGCAGCCGAACTCCAGGATGGTTCAGTAGCTTGGCGATGGGACTGTCGCGAAGCATCGCTGAAGAGTGAGGCTGCTCCAGTGTGAAGCCTCTGCTGGCTCAGCGCCATGTCGTGCAAGAACTCCAGTGTAGGAAGTTCGGCTCGCCGCTCTTCATCTCGTTTATTTGGCCTTGTCCTTGCCAGCAGCCGCAATCGACTACGGGGCACAGCTAGGTGAGGCGTACACGTGGTCCGGCACGAAGTCTCGGTGTAATTGCTGCAACGGGGGATAGCCGACATCCCACGAATAGCGGTGGTCGATGGGAAATCCGACCACGATTTGTGCCAACAGCAGGCACAATGATAAGCGCCCTGAGCCAGAACATATCTCCCACACTTGAAAGCGAAGGTTCTTGCCACTGGCCTGTTGCATCCAAGCCTTCACGTTCTTGGGAGTGGTCGGTCGGCGGCCACTCTTGGTGTAGAACTCCTCCGGGATGGCCCGATAGTAGTGTCGAGCTCGGGCCTTACGATCTTCGGGCCAATGGTCGGGAAAGTCATCACCACTGTAGCTCGGGAAAGCCTCTGCGTCCAGACCACCATCATGCGTATCCGTAGCCATGATCGCCGGCGAAGGCTGAGAGTGGTACAGGTCGCAGTCGAAACTTGGTGACTCCCGTCCACAGGCTCGCAAGGTCGTAGTTGGGATTGGCCGCCTTGACACAGTCGTCTTCCAGTACACGTCCAGCTGCTGTCTTGGGTGCATAGTGAATCTCGGTGATCCTGTCGCTCGTCAGCCTCGTGACATCAATCGATGGCACCATTCGGCGTGAACAGGATCCTTCTGGCAACCTTGTGGTGACGAATCAGAAACTCACCGTCCTGGGTCCAGTAGTCCTGTGGTGCACGAGAATGACCAGACGGACCATCCAGAAACGGCTTGCATGCCGTGGACCCAGATGCCGATGCTGCCTTCATGTTATCATGGACCTCTGTGGTAGTGGAGAAAGTCTCTGGACTGGAGCTAGCATCTTCTGACTTCTTGTGATCATGGACCTCTGTGGTAGTGGAGAAAGTCTCTGAACTGGAAATAGCTTCTTCCGACTTCTTGTGATCATGGACCTCTGTGGTAGTGGAGAAAGTCTTTGGACTGGAGCTAGCATCTTTCGCAACTTCATCTTTCGGCATCGTCTCCGCAGTGGTAGTGGAGGAAGTGACAGCTTGCTGGTAACTCCACTCATGTTCCCGACGATGCTGAAGGAAACAATGGCGCACGTCGCTCCAGCGTTCCTGTATGGCGGTGCTCCATGTGAACATCTGATGTTCCACAGTCTTCTTCTGCTCAGTCCTCATGTCGTTGCCGTAGTCGACGGGGGGCAGTTAGTGGCCAGAGTCCGCGAGAAGGATGTGGAGGTACTTCCAATTATCCCGACCATCCCGCAGAATCAACACTCCGTCGCCATTCTCAAAGTGGTTTGTGAGGATGGCTGCCGACTGTTTGCGAAGGGCCGGATTGCTCAACAGAGCAGGGCAGAGTGAGCCCTCTCCGCCAATGACCTCCGCCGAGAAGGTTCCGTTCATGTCCAGCATCCGAAGGGGAAGAGAAACTTCTCCCAAGGTTTGCTCTGGCGTTCCATTGATGCCGCTGACGCTGGTGCGATCGTGCCGCAATTGGACTGTTCGCGCCTGGTCTCCAGGTAGGCAGTGTTCCATCAGGTCTCTGAGCGTTTCGCTTCCGACCAAGCCACTTGCCGCACCCGGATCGACAAGTAGTCCCCAGCGCTTCTCCCCAAGGATGGTGTGGTAGCTCAGGGAGTCGCTGTAGACGCCGGTTGCAAAAGTGAAGTCCAGCGTTTTCGGCAAGGAGGAAGTGGCGGCTGCAGCTTCTGCTTTTTCACCGGTGGTCGCTTCAGCAGCCTTGGTCCTGGCACCCAGGGGAAGCACTGGGGAGTCATCGTGGTCAAGCTTGGAGTGAACCACCTTGGCCTTCGGCGGTGTCGCCAGGCCTCTGCTCTCGCCAAAGCTGCCGACAAGGGTCTTCTCGCTCACATAGCCGTGGTAACCCTTTCCTCGGCCTTTGCTTCCTTTGCCCTTGTTCATCCACTTTCCTTTTCCTTTGCCTTTGCCAAATCCTTTCTTGGACTTGCCTTTCCATCCGCCCGGGCTGCCGTAGCCCTTGGGCTTGCCCTTTCCTTTTCCTCCACCATAGCTGGAGTTCGATGCCACCGGACAGGAGCCTGAGGAATGCCATCGCGAACCACAAGCGGAGCAGCCAGGCCTTTTGTTCTTGCCCTTGAGGGGGTAGCTCTCGCTGGTTTCTGTCTGCTCGGCCGACGTGGCTGCGTCCGGTTCTTCATTGGCAGGCTCCTCCCACGATTCATTCCAGCCCTCGTTCTCGTAGTACTCGTAGTCCTCGTCGTAGTAGATGCCGTCGTAGTAGGGCTCGTCGTAGTAGCTGGATTCCTGCCAATATTCCGCCCGGTGGCTGGGACTGGTCTCCTCAATCCAAGACCATCCTTCGTCGATCCAAGACGGAGAGTCCCAGGCTTCTTCCCCAGGCGGACCAGGCTCGGTGTCCTCGAAGTAGTTCTCCCCGGAGTCATCCTTCTTGGTGATCAAACGTAGCGCCAGAGCTCGGGCTTCTTGATACCTGCGAAGGTCTCCTTGGAGCTGCAGCTTGATGTCCTCCACGAACTTATACGGTAAGCCGCTGCCCCGGAAGAACAGGTAGAACTTCGCCACATCGTTCAAGTCCAGCCCGGCTCGTGAGACTGCTTCCTCCAATCGTATGTCGAACTCGATCGCGTACTCCTGGAAGGACAGCTTCCCTCGCTTGAACTCGAAGAATGCTTCGATACTCTGGCTGACCATCTCCTGATCTGAAACTCCAAAAGCATCTTTGACGCTGTTGCACAGTGCCTGGATGCCGCTCGGGATGGCGTGCTGGATCACGACGTTGGGGTTGCTCGGATCCCTGACCTCGTCCACACTCAGACGGACCAGGGCGTCACTTCCACCGTCGACGCCTCCATCTGGCCTTGGAAGCCTGAGCTGCATGCCCAGTCTCTGGGCTTTCCCTTGTAGCCTTCCAGCTACCAAGGGCCCAACCATCGTGTCATCTCCTTCGTAGATCCGATACCACAGCTTCAAGCGCTCAAAGTAAAGCCTCAGCGGGTAGTCGCTCATGTTGCCCAGCCAGGCGGAACATCTCGCCTGAACTCATGCAGCGGGAGTCCGCCTCCGTCCGGAGCTGCTTCCTTGAGCAGCCATCTCAGTCTCGCTCCCACTGCCCAGCTCGTCGCCGAGGATCTCGTAGAAGTAGTCGCCGCGAAGGTAATCGGAGAACTCGGCGGGGTCCAGGTAGAGGGGGAGAGCTTTGCCAGTTTCCTGCTCGGTGCTCTCAAAGAAGGAAAAATCCTGGCCGAGGCCAGCGGAGAAATTGCAGCACTCTAGGCGGTGCAGAGTCGCCCGTGAAGTGGGGCTCCTCTATCGAATTTCCTTGGCTGTTGGACAGGTCGATGTCCTTGTTGATCACCAACAGCCACTTGAACGCGAAGACAAAGAAGTGAATGGTTTTCGCAAGGGGGTCGATACCAACTGCCTCCCGGGGAGGCGCAAGGATCCGAGGATCCTTCAGCAGCCTATGGCGCAGGAGCTAGGCTCTGCTACCAAACTTGGAACACAGCTGTTTCTTCGACCCAAGCGCGCTGCGGTATCTTCGCCTGATACATGTCTGAGCATCGTGGTTACCTATACATCTGCACAATCGTAACTTCACTCAAAGCTCCTCACATACACATGCCGAAATTGTATCTCCTCGAACACTCAACCTTCTGTAGGCTTTCGGTAACCTCCGTATAACCTGCGGCATAAGCCAAGCCGCGGAACTTAAGCTGACACCCGACAGCCCGAAAGCGTCCCGACATCCCCATAAACGAAGGGCGGTCTGAGCGTCCGCAGAGGTGAGATCGAAGCCAAAGGCCGCATTGGCCTCCAGGTGGCCCTGGGACTTGCTCTTCGGAAGAGCAACGTAGCCTCAAAGGAAAGGGCGCTACATTTGGAAGAGGGGTTCGAGGAATTTGCGGCTTATGACTTATGAGGCTTAAAGCTGAAGCTTGCACTTTAAAGGGTTTGGGGGTATCGGGGACATCGTCGCTGCTGTTGGATTCCTTAGAACGCTTCTACCACCTGACACAAGATAAGGTTGCCGGATCTGAATTTCAACCCGGAAGACAAAGGAGGGCAGCGTGGGTCGATGTGAGATCGCCTCGATGCTCCAATCCCTCCGCCTCGACTCGAAAAAGCAGGCCAAGGTGGATTTTCCACAGCAAGAACCCGGAAACACGTGTTGCGGGGCCCACTGTGATTGCAGAAATTCTCGACTGCACCAAACCGCATGGCGAAGCGTTGCCGCGCACACCTGTCGAATGTAGTGCAACCTCCACGTGGGAGAGAAACAATGGAACACTCGCTGGACCGCTCCTCAGGCATAGTCCCTATCTTTTTTTGTGGCCTTCTGTCCGGCTTCGCCTGTTCCGATGTTCAGAGCTTAGAAGCTCACTGGTGTTGGGGTTGAGAGTCAAGATAAGCTTCAGGGTGCAGGCTTCGCCGAAGCCCACAAACGCCGACCCTGCATCTTGCTTGGGGGCTTCAGATCCAGGAGCGTCCTAACTTGTGCGTGTCCGGGCTCTGCATGCGTGCTTCGTGAAGCATCTACTCGCTTCTGAAAGCAAGACGAGAAAAACAGAATGCAATGCCTGCCTTGCACAAATATTGCAGCTGCCTGGTGATGGACAGAAACTCCGCAGTTTGGTGCACACTGTGAGGGTTTCCGCTGCAGCGGGTCCCGAACAATCGTGCTTGCTGGCTGGTAGATAGATTTTGACATCTTCTTGTCGCTCCTACCCCACATCTATTCCACAGACCACCCCGGAGTTTCGGAACTTCTTTGTCGTCGGTGCAAACACCCGAAGATTGGGTCTCGCTCTTTCGCTAGCACAGGATACCTTAATCAGGGATTTCAAGGTTTAAGCGCTGTTGCCCATGACCACCTCGGTAGCGAAGGGCTAAAAGTCAATTTCAGCTTCAGTCTCTTGTCTTCTTACCAGGAGTCAGGGTTTCAGGCTTAACGGCTTCAGATTCCGGATGAGTGATATCCGTCAAGTCTCCCTGTATTCCATGTCTGAGGTTGGAACTGCTGTGAGACATCACCATTCCGAACCCTAACTGAAATCCTACACCCGAACCGTCCTTGCATCGAAACGCCTTTAACTAAGCACAATTTCGGTTACAAGTTGTCAGGCTCCTGATCCTGAGTGACCTAGAAGTCGAAACAAAACCCCATCCCCTCCATCACCTTTGAAGACCACAGAACAAAAACCTTGAACCCTCAAACTTAAAATCCTAAGCCCCTGCAGCGCCAGACTCAAAGCCTCTGTCTGCCCCAACCTCAAGATCTCTAAAACTCAAGTCTCATGACCCTATCCTATCCGATCAATCCCGCACACCCTCAAACCGAAATTGCAGGATTGATGCCGAATCTTCACACTCTGTCCCTACATCCTGAACCCGTGAACTCAGGATCCCTGAACGGCCGTTCCAAGATTCTTAACTCCCTAAACCCAAGGGCTCTGACTGCACGAACCCGACGCTGTAAATTTTCAAGCCAAGATCCTTGCGTTTTGGATGGAAGTCGGACCCAGAAGGACTTCTAATAATTCTAGAGACCCCAAGAAGCACGATCCTTGTACAACGACGCAAGATGTTGATGCCGCTGCCCTTCTAATTATAGCTGGGCCTGGGGACGCTATAGCACAATGAAAAACGGACCGAAAGGAGCAAACCCAAGTGTTCAGGAAGCCTTTCTGAAGGCACCAGCGCACCGCGATCTCCGCCTGGTTCCTGCCTTTCTTGGCTGCCATGCCTGGCTTAACATTTAAACGACTCAAACCTTCATTTCGGGCCTAACACTCTGGGCTGAGGCTTCAAGGCTTTAGAGCTCAGGTTGCTGCGCAAAGCCTCGCACATTCAAATCCAAATATTTCGACCATGGAACTCGGACTCCTAAAGGCGGGCACTGCGGGTCCGAAGATCTGCCATGAAGTTAACAACTGCGGGGCATGACAAGTTGTGAACTGTGTGAAAGGAGCAGTAGAGAATCATTCAAGCCTGTGCTCGCAGCTGCATCCGTTGGGTCCCCGATCATGCTTCGAAGCAGCTCTCCACACGGCAGGAACCAGGAAGCCTTCTTTCAATGCTAGCCTTGTAAACTCGTGGCGTTTTTGTACAGCTTTCGACTAGTACTCCGAGTTTGTCTTGAACGTTCTCTCTACACACGTCCCCATTGCCCCGCATGCATTTCTGGGGTGTCATGACAATTTTCCAGCCTATCCGTTCGCATTGCATGTGGCTTCATAGACAATGCCATCCACGAAGAATGAGACCCGAATTCGTCTAGTTGTGGAGCTATTCGTGGTCGGGTCTGGGGCAAGGCTTTTCGTGGCAATGCGGTTGCTGCTAGAAGGTAACACAGTCCCCCTTGAAGGAGAGTAATGCAGACTGCACCGGGTTGCAGGTTCCATGCCATTTTCTTTGGGGCACAAGCCTGCTAGGCTTCGCCATGCATCTGGAAAGCTGCCGTGGGATGAGCGGCAAAGCCTACAGCTGGGCCAAAGTCAAACAAGTGTTACTTTGTAGACAGCTCTTCGCATCTTTTCAATGGGATCCTGAGGATGTATAATAGTTCAGGTCCTGGAGGAATCGAAGTACTGCACTACGCCTGCAAGCCACAAAAAAGCTGAAAGCACTAACTACTTATCCATGAAACCTCCCGTCGCTGGACCCCAGGACCCCAAGCTCTGAACCCGGACGGAAGAAGAGGGGTATTTGTATGTCCAGCCATTCTTCCCTCTAACTCTAATCCCTTCCAGCTTGCAGATCACCCGTGACATCAAACATAACAGTTTCGCTGAAGGGCTGTCTCGTGTGATAAAACCAACAATCCTCAAACTATAACTCCAATGCAAACCAACAGCTGAAGCCCCAATATCGCGAAAACCTCGAGACAGATGGCAAGACACTGTAACCCTACAGCCGTAAAGCACCCAAGAAAACCCGAAAGCCTTTTAAAGTGCTAAAGCCCTTCATAACGAAAGGCACCAAGAAATCTCTTCAAGTCGCATCTGAACTCTGTACCGAGCAGCTGGCCACGTGCAAGGGGAGAGGCGGCCTGCAGACTTCAGGCTCCTCTAGGAGTTCCCACAGAGGGCTTCGTCGTCTTTGCGCTTTGGGTCTTCCCGGGCTGCAGGTTCGGAGTCCAGGGCTTAGGTTGCGGGAGCTTCTGCGTACACTTTGTAAGGGGGGCCTTGGACAGCTGCCCAGGCTTCACGGAGCTAGACCTCAAAGCATGCCCTGTAAGTCTACTAGTTTTTTACTACCAAATCCCAGAACATCTGCAAAACATGTTCAATGAGTTCAATGCGAGGCTTTATGCAAGCCAGGGGGCCTGTGAAGTACGAAAGCCCGAAACCCCAGTGCGTGAGGCCATTCTTGCAGCTCCAACTGCCGACTAATGGATCTCCCCGGTAGTTTGAAACCCTCCCACCATGACGGCGATGCCGTTGCGGGCGCAGTGGGCTGTGAGCTCCTGCTGCTGCTGAGCCAGGTGTAGCTCCACCTGCAGCACCTCAGGCTCGTTTGGGCGCTTCGCTTCAAGGCTACCTCGTTTAGGCGTCTTGGGAGGGTGGAGGTGGTTGGAGATATCGGGACAAGGTGTGGTCTTGTGGGCTTAGGTGGCTCGCGAGACAGGAGATCGTCTCTGTCATCCATTCAGCTCCTTCCTAACGACTGAAGCGCAAAGACGATCCTACCTGTGTCAAAGACGCGAATATGTTGGAGGGCTTGTCCTTCCTCTTGCTGGGTGCATGTGACAGAATAGCTGGCTCGAACCTCGGCAGGCATCAGAGTTTGTGGTTCCCCGCTCGAAGAAGCCTAGAAGCCGCCATTGGTTTACCACAGCCCTATGTAAACACTCCCCCCCACAACATTGACCCCAGTAACGGGATCTTTTATGCCCCAGAACCTCTGGCAGCTCTCGCCCCGTTGCGGCAAGCCCTGCCAGGTGGGCCGCAGAGAAATTACCTGAAGCATCGATGTATCGGGGCGGTGACATTATGAGGGTTCTTATGTTAGGGACGAAGGCACCTCCCCAACCTCTGAGTTTCACAACCCGCCAAATCAACCGTTCCTCGTTTTCGAGAACCTTATAGGTGACTTGAAACTGTAGGTTTTCGCTAAGTGTAAGTCGCGAGCGCCCTTTGATCTTCAGAGCAGTACGGCTGCTTGCGGAATCAAGCCTGAGCAATCGAGGAGTTGTGTCAGGTCCTGACACAAGCCGTCAGACTCTAGGGCTTTGGAGCTTCTAGTGCATCTGGGACTCCTGGAATCGCTCTTGCATATTGTAGGGTGCTCTTTGGCTGTTTGGAGTCCATGCTGGCCTGGCCCTATGAGTATTGTATGGGCTTATGGTCCGTCGGCTGTTATAGTTTGAAGGGTGGGGCCTTTGTTTGGAGCTGCACGGGGACCACTGGGGGAGCTTCTAAACGATCCGCCTGCCGTCCGAACATGCTTCCGTGATTCCAACTGCAAGGAAATCAGCACGTAAGGAAACGCCGACTGACGGTTAATTTCTGTGTTTCAGGCTGAATAGACGAGCCCGACGCGACCTGCAATGGCTGGCTCTTTCTCTGAAACACTCGTTCTGATGCCGTATGACATACCCCTTATTATAGACCTTTTCGACCCCGCACAAGACCTTGCGACATCCGAAGAACATAACCCGAGAGGGACTTCAATTTAATTAGACAGCAATCCTCATACATCTGGTGAGCCTTACCTGTCCTAACTCCTCTGGCCCGCGGCCCCTTGGTTCCCTCTCTTCGGAGACCTACGCCGGGCTGCAAACGCCGACTGCTCGCGCCAAGCCCCTGTCCAGCATATTTTTTCGCCCAGCATGTTCTAGAGTTGAAGGGTTTTCAAAAGCTGCTGATGTGTCGTGCAGGGCTTTGAAGGATGTTCGCGGCTTGGACAGCACAAACTTCTGAATCTCAAATCAAAGCCCTTATCTGTCGAAAGCTCGCCTCTGACAATGCTTGAACATTTTTGAAATGACAGGGCTATCAGCGGCTGCAAACTTCTGAAGGCCGAGCATAGTAACAAGCGCAATACTTCTGGTAGCATTAACCTGCAAGCAACGGTGAAGCAAACAGATGCTAGAAGCGTTTGGATCTGCCAACATGGAGTGAGCAACCAGTTTGCACCGTGACCAGTGCAACCTGCAGTACGAAGTGTCAGGACATGCGCTTGAAAAGCATGTGTGGAACACGCACTGCAAGGAGACACAAGGACTCGCACTACGCTGCTTGCAAGCATCACAATTTCGTAATGAGGATAAAATTCAAACTTATGATAACTGCAAGACGGCAACGTGTTTAATTTAATGGCATAGCGAAAACAGAACAACAGTTTTAAACCTTCGTTATTTACGGTACTTTGAAAACGTCGGATCCAAGCATGAACAGTGCAACCATGCGATTCAAATGCTCAGGCTTTCTAGAATTCAACAGGAGTCCATGGATTTCGAAGGCGGTCGGACGAGGACTCAAAACGTGTCTTTTGCACGGCGCAGCTGGTATAAGGGACCTGCGCTTTCTTGCAAGGTCAGCTCGCCTGTCCCTCACGGCAAGAACAGCATCCCAGGTCCAGATGACACTTCCTCCTTGAGGGCTCTGAATGAGAAAGAGGTCCTTGGTGGAATCGAATGTATCTCCTAGTTTGGCGGAATTGCAGATGGAAGGATAGAAATGTTTCGGGCCTGATGGCCTGATGACTGTAGATCCTCAGCTCTTGACTTTTGAGTAGCTTCGGGTCCGTTTAACTGGGGTCGCAGGCTGGCATTCGCATTTCGGGTCAAAGCTTCCTATTGGAGCGAGTTTTGCGAAAGGCTTCGCGCAGACACACAAAACCCAACTCTTGTCATAATGCTTCGTTGGGCTGTGTTTGAAACCCCGAACACCCTGTCATGCTGCTGTCCCAACTACACGTCTCGGTCAGTGATATGGGGGCGTTATACTATAATTATTGCAATCAGACTGGTAATTACTTAGGCCCCTATATTACTGTGCAACCCATGCGCGATGTAGCCAGTCCCTAGGCGCTGGAGGGCTGCGTGCAGCGCCTCCTCAACTTCCTCGGCGTCGCCGTGCCTTGAGTCTGAACGATTTTCTCTTGACGCAAAACCCCCGTTGTGCATGGGAAGGTTAAACGACTTGAGAGTTGGCGTGTGAGGCAAGCGATTTTGTGTTCAACGCTTTCGGGGTTAAAACGAATCAAGTTGACAGGTTGAAATCTGTCGGGGCGAGGGTTAACCAGTGGTCCTTTCAACGCTTGCTGGACAAAAGCAACACATATAAGCAAGAACATCGAAGCTACCGAAGCAGAAACCCTACCTGCCGGCCCCGTGATCACCGCGTGAAGTTGGCGGAAGCCCGTTGCCGAAGAGTCACTCGGCCGGCGACAGCTTCGTCACGAGGAAGACCTCAGTCGTGTCTGCAACGCTTAGTAGTTTCTAGTATGACTCAAGCTCATTAGGAGGGCAAGGCAAACGTGTTGAACCCCAGGCAAAGATGGGAATCTCAGGAATGGACCCAGGCAGCGGGTATCGGGTGTCACAAAACAGCCTTGCGACTGATTGTAAAGGAACCGGGCAGATGCAGCTATTTGTTGATCCTTTTTTTAATATTCCCAGCTCAGTCTGCAACATCCTCCCGCCGAAGACCCGCGGCGCGAATTCCATTGGCAATCTCCTCGCCGCGGATGCAATTACTATAGAAGCTCAGCTTGTTCGATTCAACGCTATGAGGCTATGCGCGGCACGCAATCTCTGACAGGGACCTGGGTCTTGGAAGCTTCGCAGGACCACCCCAACTTGAAACAAAGTCACGCAGATCCAAAACAACATCCCAAACGAGCAACCCTCTCGAATTGGCTAGGAAAGGGACGGGCTCAAGCGCTCTGGGGACATGGTGTGACCGGCACGAGTTCTAAAGTTGGATTACAGAAGGCCTTCGTGGGTCTTTGCTTGAAAGCCGCCTTTCAGCCCATCAGGAGCCAAGCCAAAGCCCATAAGCCCTATAGAGGCCATCGAATCGATCCTAAATGCCGTCGACTGGGGAGCCTTGGAGGCGGCCATGGTGGTCTGCCTTTTGAGGGACTGATGATCAGGATCTTCATATTCCAGAGCTTGGGGTCTGCAAATTCCGGTCCCTTAAGTTCTTTGAAGCTCAACGTTCCAACTCCAAGACAACGAACCCCTCTTGCGCTAGGTCCAGCGGTTGAAGAGCTGCCACGCCAATACGGCGTATAGTATGAAGAACTTGCTTGGAGCCTGTCCGAAACATAAAAAAACCTCAGGATAGCAGTCCCGAGATCCTGCACTCCTAAAGGTCTGAATTGAGAAGCGACCTCCTCGTTGCCAAAGCCTGGCGCTGTGTCGATAAGCCGGTAGCCGGAGCGCAGTGCCATTCGCACCGCCTCGAAAGGGACCGGTGACCGGGGTGAAACTGCTCCGAGGGGTTCTTGGTGTTCCCTGAATTAAGGCGTCAGCCAAACAGACTTCAGTGAGGCCCACAAAATCCCGCAAATATCCATCCAAACGGAGCCAGAGGTGCTCGCCAAAGCATTCGTCTGAACGGGCTTCGGCTTTGGCAATCACACAGAAAGCCTAGTGAACTCTAGAGGCAGAAACCCACCACCTATAGAAGCTTGTACCCTGAAACCTTTCACCAACACAGAAAGCCTACATCTCCAAAACGCGAAGCCCCGCAGAGCGCCAACACCTGCTCCCTGAAACCTGGATCCCTCAACCCTTACACCACAAAACCCACTGCACCCCTCAATCCAAAATCCTTCAATACCCATGCCTGCATCAACAAATCCCCAAACCGTGGCAGAGCGCTACGACTTCACCCGGAGAGCAGGAGAACGTTCTGCATGAGATGAGCAGCCCGGCAGCGGGCCCCACCTCTCGGCACTCTGCGCCCTTCAGCTGCCGCGTGCCGAGGCCAAGGACGGGCACGCGGAGACCAGAGCGCAAGAGGACGAAGGAGCTCGGGGTGAGCCTCCTGGGATGGATTCGGTTTCGGTGTTCTCTTTCCTTGAGGATTTGGAGCAAGGAGGGATCCTACACTCAAGATGCAGTTCCCAATGCAACAAAAACTGTCGCGCCACGGTCGACCAACCCAACTTCTTCTTCCATAGCGAGCGGCCTGGTTTCGGCCTCAGCCGAGGCAGCATTTCGTCGCCACCGGCTCTCGCCGACGCTGCTGGTGCTGGGACCTAGGAGCGTTACTTCTTTGTCACGGTTTGAGGCTTCAGGGGACAGGATGTCGGATCTAAGGGGAATGCCAATTCGGAAAGATTTTTCCCCTTTCTGGCAGTTCCTGAGCCTTCGCAGCCCTTCAGGATCTCAGGACTTGTCGCCGAGCGGCCAGAGTGGGCGGGCTGTGCAAGCGACTCCTCGCTCAGGGCACTTTTGAGACTCGGGTTAAGGGAACGAAACCGCAGCCCATTGCGAAGGGAAGCATTCCAGCATCCCCATCCTGGACCTCCGGTTTGGTCTTGTCGGTGTCCTCGACGGGTCCTTGCGCTCTTAAGTTCTGCGTTTTGGCCGTCCGGTGTATCTCGATGCAGTGTTTGAGGGCGGGGAGACGAGAGCGGGTCAGGGAATTCTGTGGAGGGTGCAAGCGTAGAGGTCGCCTCTGATGCTTCGGGTTTGCGATGTGTAACAAGCGGGAAGCTATGGCATCTCCTCCATGTGGCCTCGACAGATAGGCCTGATATAACTGGAGAAGACATGCCATGGATCGCCCGGATACAAACATCCAAACCCTGGCAAGCAAGGCAAGGTTGGGGTTGAAGCAGCACCACCTTTATGTCACCGTCAAAGACTCAGACTCCACTTCCCACACCCCACGCTCTGTACTCCGAGCGGCAGCATCTTGAACATGATCGTTTTCGGAATGTTGACTTGGCGAGTTTGAAAGAACCCCTCCAAGGACAAAGTGAAAGTTTTATTGAGCTCGCAAGCCCTGCATGCTCTGTGACCGGCCTGCATGCCTCTCGCATGGCTTCTGGTCTTGCACCTCGCAGGTGACAGGCGATGTGTCTTCAGGGAGCTGAGCGCTCTGGTCCCGGATCTTGAGATGCAGGACATTCTGCTCTTGTTGCTTTAGACTGGATCCCGAAAGGGGCCAAACCAAAGCTTGGGACTCAGCCAGCAAGAGTGAAGCTCCAAGCATGTCAGTACTACTACATGGACAACCAACCTCACAACAAGATCGGGAATCGGGTCGGAAATCGAATCGAATCGATCAGACCGCCGTCGGAGTTGAACCATTGAGCTGTGCCTATAGAGCCAGGCGCTTGTGCGCTTCGCTAACTAAATCTAGGGCCACATCGCTGGAGCTGCCGCGACCGCAGCCACGACGTCGTGGATGAAGGATGCAGAGTTTCGGTCAAGGTCCACGGTCGGTTGGCTCGGGCAAGTTTGGGAGGCAAAAACGAGTTAGTGGCTGGCAAACACGAATTAGTGGCTGCCACTAAGTCGATTTTGGTTTTGGGCAGGCTGGACAAGGCAGGGCGGAGGCAGGGAAACAAAAACGAGTTAGTGGCTGCCACTAACTCGATTGGTTTTTGGGCAGGGCGCAAGGCTTTGGAGCAGAGCAGGCAAACCAGGGTGGGAGGTTGTGGGGCAGGGCAGGGGCAGGGTGGAGTGGGAGGCAAAAACGAGTTAGTGGCTGCCACTAACTCGATAATTTGGTTTTGTGTCAGGTGGGTCGGGTCGGGGGAGGGTGGGAGCAGGGTGGGAGCAGGGAGCGCAGGGCAGGGGCAGGGTACAGGGCGGGCCGGGGCCTGGGTGGGAGGGTGGGGGGCAGGGTGGGAGGGGGCAGAGCAGGGTGAGGGCTGCTTCGAATTCAAGACCTCCATAGCTGAGTGGTACAGATTGCGCTTTGTAGACACACCTTGCTAGGTGTGTTGGCTCGATTCCCCCCAGTGTCATTTGGTCGAGGCTTCGCGATTCCAGGGTTGAACTCGTTTTTGCACCTGTCTGCCACCTGCCCCCCACCCTCCCTGCCCCACCCTCCCACCCTGGCCCTGGCCTGCCCCTGCCCTGCGCTCCCTGCTCCCACCCTGTCCTTGCCCACCCTGCCCCAACCCGACCCAAAACCGAAATCGAGTTGTGGCAGCCACCAACTCGTTTTTGCCCCAACCTGTCTTGCCACCCTGCCCCACCCTGCCCTGCCCCTGCCCTGTGCTCCCTGCTCCCACCCACCCGACACAAAACCAAAGTCGAATTAGTGGGAGCCACTAATTCGTTTTTGCCTCCCACCCGTCTGCCATGGGGAACTGAAGGCTCACTAGGTCTGCCATGCCTGTGCACATTGCATATCTCTCAAATGAGTTTCTTGGCTGCTTCAGTGCCAAGCTCAAGTTGGGCTGGCGGTTAAGCCTTTGTGCAGAGACCCCTGGCGGCCAGGTTCCGTCCCTCGATCGGCAAATCGCATCGAATCGCTGCAAATCGGGTCGGATGGATCGGTGTCGATCGGGTCGAATCGGGCAGGGCATGTACTACCATGGCTATCATGGTGATGACTGGTAGTAGTGGTTGGAGACTGCAGACAGCTCAAGATCTACGCCTTTGCAACAGACAGCAAACAACGCGATGACGACGCGGGCCGCAGCAACCGGGCGAGACCAACAGCAACGATAGACCCAGTGCCTCTGCAGCCTGCGCCAGCGGAAAGACCTGTTCTGGCAGCTCCTCCTTGTGGGGCTCAAACGTTCGAAGCCAAGCCTCGCTTAGAGATCCAAGCGCCTTCGAGTGCTGAACCCTTAAGCCTAGACACATGACATCTGAGAATCCCAAACCACCTATTCTCTCCACCAGTCCCCCTACATACCTCAGACTGCGCAACAAGGGTTTTGCAAATTGCATCAGCCAACTGTGGTTGCACAAAGTGGCGAAGGAGTTCAAGAAAGCTACCACACTATAATGAAATGCTGGTGTCAATAAGACAAACCAGACGCAGACAGGTAACCAGGAGCAACAGCGGACAGGACAAAACCACCGGCGATGATACTGGACCAGCCAGATATATCAGACACCATCGAGACAACCCTAACAGCACTAATGCTTAACCAAGAACTGAAATTACGTTGCCCTGCAGGGTCGCTGCCATTCACAGCCTTGATCACATGATTTCTCCGGATGTTGTGTTGCTGTTGCATGTTCAAACTTGGAGGGATGAGAACGAGACATGAATTCAGGCTGTAGCTGTCTGTCAGTCAGGTCCAGGGCGAGAGGCTCCGCATTGCTTTTAGGTGTGGGGTCGTCCACAGCGGCACTCAGTCCCACTCTCTAGACTCCGAACGGCTTGCTGGGTAGATCACTCGTCTTCCGGATAGCACTCGCGTGTACATTGTTCATGCTGGAAGAGGATGAACAACGAATCTATCAGCAGGATAGCAGGAAAACAACATCAACAACACTTTCTTTGCAAGTCATGACTGTCCTGCAAAGCGTCTTTCCCTCTGCGCCACCTTCCAGCCATCGTCGCGGTGGGCTAAGCTGCATTCCGAGCAGGTACGGCGCTAATTCAAGCTGACCACCACTTTCCGTTCTGCTGTACTTCAACCAACCAAATTCGCGGAGAAATTCCGAAAGGTTTCTGAGCTTCGCCATCTCCCATGGTGCGTATGATGTCAATATGGCTGCCATAGTCTGAAGGTGACACAGGTCGGCGTGGTGGAGAGTCCAGGGTGCAGAGCCTAAGCTTGGGATTGCCGGAGCATGGCATGTGGTATCACTAAACTCACTAAACGTGCCGCACCTCAAAATCACTGTTCATATCCACAGTATACAGACTACACCTCAATTTCCCTAGCTTCGGGCGCGGCAGTTTGTCCTTCCTCAAATGCAAGAGTAGGCAGTGGGTCGATGTGGAAATCAGACCTGAAGCCATCATGTCTTCGCAGGAGCGGCAAGATGCGGTGCCGAAGACAACCTACGACAACAAGAGCCAGGGTGTCGGAGCTGCAACCCTACACACGCACCTAAACCCCTGAACTACTCAGAATCAAAACCTTCGGCGCCCCTCATTAATGTGAAGCATTCATGCTCCAAGAGGTCAGCGAGAAAGAACCACACACCTGCACAGTTTCTCTTCGAGAGCACAAAGTTTGTAAGAAGCGGCTCGCTGCTGAGATCCTAATGGCGGTGCTGGCAAAGGCATTCCGATTCAAGGTGATCATAAACATGCGACTTGCCAGCATGGGGGTGGGGGGGACGGGGCGGTTGTGTTGATGATGATGATGATGATGATCATTATCATGATGATGGTGGCCATGATTCAGGTTGATGGTGAGGGACGATGATGACGACACTGCACAAAAGACATATGTTAGCAGCGAGGCTGACGTAGCGGTGATGGCCGCGGGTCCTTCAGCTTCCGAGCTCTTTGAATAGGGGGATCACTGGAGCCGAAATCGCGAAGGATCTCTCCAGTGCTCCTACAGGGCTCCATGCCAGCCGTTCGGGAATGGACCCAGTGGACCCCAGGACCAGGAGAGGACCCCTGTGTTGTCTCCCGCTTCTCACTTTTTTTGCTGCAATTGAAAGGCTCAGATTTGGGTCGCTACGGCACTCACCGCTCCGACAAGGTTCAAACAGTAGTAGGCCATCACAAGCAGTTGTAAGTTGTAAGTCGATCTTCCTGTCCGAAAGCCCGGACTAATGATAGCAACAGTCCGTGCCGAAGTGAACTACACTGTCACTGTCATCTTTGCGGCGTAACCCCATTGCCCGAGTCGGCAGCACGGTTCTACGTCTGGGTGTTTGCCGCATAGACGAAGAGCATGTTGGGCTTGGAGCCCACCCTTCTGACTATTGCTGTTCGCGTGTGGCTACTTATCTCGCCTCGGATACTGATCCGAGACACGCAAAATGCAGCGGCATCCGACGCAGCCCAGCCCCACAGCAGAGAGCCTAAACTCCCAACACTCATTTTCAAACTGAGCTCTCTCAAAAACTCCAACGCAAAAACAAGAGCACGTATGGCCTACGCACCCCGACACCCCTGAACCCCAAACCTCCGTAAAGCCTCACAGCACACCCAGAACCCCGTAAAGAAAGATACCCAACCCTGCAACCCCTATGGTCAAGAAGCCATACCTTCCTAGAGCTCCGTCTTCATTATCCCTTTCAAAAAACACTACAAAAAAGCCTGATTCACTTCCCTAATGCTCCCTCCCCCAAAAGAAATTACACAGCCCCAAACCCTCAAATGTTCTTCGTCCTGCGGCACTGAGCGGAATCTGCACGGCTCAGTTTCAGTAGGGCCTCCGAAAGTGAGGATTTCAACCGGGCTGGGCGGGGGGCCTTGAAGTCTAGGGCTGGGGCTTGGGCTTCGGAATTTTCAAGCGTTGGGCTTGAGGTTTCGGAAGGGTTTGTGGGTGTTGGGGCGAGGTGGTTGATGCAAACAACTGGTGTGAACAACACGCCATAGCTTTAGGCATTCGGGTTCTGAATTCTGAATCCTCAATTCCAGGCTGTAGTTAAACACCTGCAGGAAGCAGGAATTGCACAAGGAACCTAAATGAGAGCAACCCGCATGCAGCTTCGCCTAAGCATGCGCATCTCTGTAGTTCGGGGTCTGTGGTGGCTGTGCAGAAGAGGATCCAGACAGCAAGAACCCGGCCATTTCCGGCTCAACCTCCGGCGATACCGGGGCACACTCAGCGCCAGGCGCATACCGCACAGCCATGACAGGGTTGTACCACATCTGCTGGTGAGGCCAGGCGCTGGCCAAAGCGTGGCAACCGCAGCCCATTGGGGACTGCAAGTTCATTGAGCCCTGGGCAGGGTGTCGGTATTGCTGTTGGTACTGCTGCACCCATGCTTGCTGGCGCTGCAATGCCTGCTGTTGCAGCGCGCGCTGTTGCAACTCTTGCTGCCGCTGCTGTTGCTGAAACTGCTGCTGCTGCTGCTGTTGTTGAAAATGCTGCTGCTGCTGCTGTTGCTGCTGTTGGCTCTTAAGCTTATGCTCGCATTGCTGAGCTTCTGTTTCCTGAGCCCGCTCCCACGTGAACCTGAGCAACACCGGCAGGGTCAGACTGAAACAATTTCGACAGCCGTATGGGCTCCAGAACCTAGACATGCGCAAGAGATCCTACCGCCCGCTGAGCCGTGCACGGTTTCAGGTCAGCGCCCCAGGTTGGGGTTTTGCTGGGCTTCGTCGTTGTCAGAATACGGGACGCGGATGTGACATGACTTCCGCCTATCCCTGCAACGCTATCTCAACCGACATTTCCCAACAAGAACCCCATATCTCTGAGCACTCAGCCCACGCCCACTTCCATCGCTGGACTCCCACACCTCGGGTAGCAGGTGGCTGCATCAATGGTTAGGAGCCGCCTGAACATGAGTTTTTCAGGCCATATCCCCATAAGGGTAGGTGTCAATGTCAACGGCTTGTGTTATTGGTCCCCACGCCACGCCGCGTTGCGTCTTTGCCTAAGCTATGCCAGCCGTCGCTTATAAAAGCATGGGCTTCTTCATTTGCTGGGCTGTCTTGTGTGGGCCAGCGCCTCAAAACTCGTCTTTGTGTGTTCCAGAAGATGAGACCGCACAAAAAAGTCTCTGCAAAATACCTGAACCCTTACCCAGGATGTGGTGCTATTGCAGCATTGAAGTTCGGAAATGCGCCCGAACTTGTTCTAACAATCAACCTGGGGTTCGCTAAACTTCGAGTACCAAATTAGGTTGCATGTTCTTCTACTTCATGAGGTTCCGACTGCTTCGCGCATCATATAGCCCTTATGAAGCCCTGAAGATAGATAAGGGTGCACAGGCGAAGCAGCGGGGTTGTGTTTTGTGGGGGCTTTAGGACTTATGCGCCTGAGGACTTAACAAAGAAGCAGGTCCTAAGTTATTACGGTTTTAAGTACCCTCGCCTGTAGTGGGTTGATCCCGATTATAACTCCACTGATAATCTTCTTGCCCTGCTGCATGGGCCGAGACCTAAAGAACAGAACCCTCACCCTGACTCACCCGAGCCTCCCGGAGGCCTCCAGCTCCAGCCCCAAATCATCGCAAGACCTGGAACCGGAAGCCTCGGCAGCCCCCGAAACCCCAAACAATACCAACACCACTGGAAAACCCACCGAAAACGCTGGGGCCGTGACCGCCAGTTGAAGAGGTGACTCCAGTGGCCTAGACTTCTCGGATCTGCTGGCTTCGGTCTTCCGACTTTCAACCGAACATGAGACTGAGCGATTCCACTACATGACACACTAAACAGGCACCGCTTGTACGCCCGATTCCTGACAATAGTCGGGTGTCGCACCACGCTGAAGAAAACCATAGCAAACCAGAACAACGCGTCTGTTATGCAAGGAAGCTTCAAGAATCCAGTCCAATCGCATGGCTTGGCCTGGAAATGAGCCAGAAACTCCAGGAAGTTTGGCAGAACAAGGATGACTGCTGCATGGAAGGTAGGTGCCTCCATCGAAACCGGTATTCGGACAACAGCAATGGCCCGCAATTCGCAAGGTTTCAAATCCGAATCCCGAAACAGCATGGCCAACCCGAAACCTGTCCTGTCACTGGCTTGTTCGGGAGGGTCAAAAAGTCAAAAGCTTACAGGCTTCGGGATTGCTAAATCCCGAAAACTCGCTGTGTTCCTCTCAGGTCGAGGCGGCTGCAGGCTGTACCTGTCTCTTAAAGCCCGCACGGAATTCTTCTCAACCTTGCCTAGGCAAGGAGGTTCTCATGGGGTTCTTTTAAGTCCAATGATGTCAGCCGTTCTCTTGTCTCCAGCCGACATGCAGGTAGCCCAAAGCCTCGCCCTCCGACGCCCCAAGGTTGCCGCTCGAAGGCTTGAGGTGTGCAGTGTTTTCGGGGTTCTTACCTTCAGGGTCCTGAACGACCTGAGGCACAAAGCTGGAGCAGCCTTAACCCAAGACGACGATTTTCAGGCGCTTGGGCTTGAAGCTTGTGGGTTTCGGGTCAAAAGTCTTCGGCTTCGATGGAAGCCTAAGACATCCTAAGACCAAAGTCGGGTCTGGCTCATGGCTGAGGATGAAAACAAGGCCCCTAAGGCCCAATTGTAATTGGAATACGTTTTTTGGTCATGCTGAGGGTATTCTTCTTCATATGGGGACACTGCAAGATTGCTGGTTAAATCTTTGGGCCTTACTATCAGGGTCTCGGAATGGGAGTCTCACTGCAGCTTGCTGTGTCGGCCAGCGACGTACATGTTCAGATGACTTTGGGACGTTTGCGTTGCCTGCGTTGCAGCCAGAGCTTCGTGCTATGGAGCCCCTTATCCCAGTCGCTGTTGCAAAGAAACCGTCCGCGACTCCAATCTACATCCGAAACGCCTAATCCCCAGGCCCCTGGCCCTAAACCGAACCGCCGACTACCTGGATCAAATGGCCCCAATCCCAAAAGGATAACATTTCTGGAGAATGATCATGGTACGAAAGTAGTACGGGAACCCTTCAATCCTAAGAGCAGACCCCAAACCCTGGGGCGGCACCTTCCTGTGGAGCCCCACCTCAGAGCAGGGCCACTCGGAGGTGCGTGCTCGGTGGGGTTTGGGTTGAAGTTAACGATTGGGGCTTGATAGAAAAGACTAACTTGGCCGTGCGCACCTTTCACCGCAAAGCTGAGGTAGCCTTTCTCTCCTGATCCCACCACAAGTAACAAACCGCCGGCAAACTAAACTTTTCGGATTCGTACGTAGGTTTTGAAAATCATGAAAGTTTAACCAAGTATACCAGGAATATCACGGGAAATACATACACAGATATGCATTGGAGTGAGATTGAGACCGACTGCGACTGCCAAAGCTACACTACCTACTACTGAGGTGAGTCGCCTTCGGCACCGTTCCTGAATGAAAAGACCTTCTTAAATCCAAGATATGAAACGGGGTAACAGATACATACACACATACATACATACATACATGCATACATACATACATACACGCACATGCATGTACATGCATAATCTCAGTGGCCTACCCAGAAACACATACGACCCAGCTTCAGCCGACAATGGCAGTAGAAACTGTAATCAGCCAGGACTGTGCAGGAACTTGTCGGATCGGTCAAGACGGTCAAGATTTGGCCTGAGTCAAACCAGCTCCTTACATCATTCATCCGCGGTTCTACTTCAGGTTTTGATTCAGGAGTCGTTTGGGGTGTGCGATGCCTGTCAACATCTTCACTTTGCCCCAAGCATCCTTGCAAAATGGGCGAAGCAATAGAGCCCCTATTCAGCTGCACAAATGAATACTGAATGCTTCCTTCATCACTGCTACTCATACTCCTTGTGTTGCAGCTGCTCCGCCTACTACGACGAGGACGATGGAGATCACAACCACTCCGAGTGCTACGGGATGACACCTTGGAGGACTCCTGGCGTGAGATTTCCGGTTCACAGGCGGCCCGGACAAGGCCAAGGTCCCTGTGAACCTGGGGCATTCGCCAAAGTCGACTGGAAGCGTGATCCCAATGCAGACGAAAAGGCCTCAGCGGCAGAATCAAAGACCTCTGAACTTCCCAAACCTCTCCAAGTTGCCATCAAAGTTCATTGCAAACCCATGTATATTCGCGAGGATATCCATGTCTGTGCGTATACGCGTGCCAGAGGTTACAGTGATATCAGTGTCCTGACTCATTGTGTGGTTCTCCGAGAATATCTCCCAAACATGGACACCAAACACGCTCATACGGGTGCCGAAAAAGGACCCCAATCAGCCCATTTCCGAGTTAATGACTGTCTGTTTAAGATAGTTCTCCCCACATGACTCAGAACAGGGAGAAGCAGTCCCACTTATGCCAGGTCCTACCGCAATGGGTTGGTGCCAATCTAATCAGTTGTCTTTTCAAGCACTGAGGATCCTGGTCTACTTACCGATTCTACTGTTTTTCCGAACCCTCAGAACCTGAAGCAAAGACCAAAACCTAATACCACGTCGAACATGTTGCTACACTTGTGGATTCCTAACCTAAACACTGATACCTAGAAAGACGGTAGTTGCAAGCAGCTAGACCTAAACCCCGTAGCTATCCACAACCCTTCCTGAACAATGGGATCCTAATGGGGTCTGGGCATAGGCCCCTCCTGTGTTTCCGAGCCCTCCAGACAAAGGCGCTGACTTTGAGTCCACGCCGACCTTTCCCAATGCGGAGCTTGCCACGGGCGTTTCGAAGTGAGCGACTCCAGAATTCACTCGCAATCAGTCCATACTTTAGCACCCGAGCTTCCCATGAGCCCCTGGCTTTCTCGGCTTTTAGGGCGGTTACTGCGCTTCGCAAGGCTTCTTGTTCATGACTATCTAAAGTAATCTGTGTTGGCTCCATCATGCCCACATTTGTTTCTGTGGTCTTGCTCCATAGTTGCATAGTAGTTCGTTCATACCTGTATGCTTGCGAATGTCGTCAAGCCATCTTTTTTCAGGATTTCGATCGCTACCGCCCCAAATTATTCTGTCTGAGGAGCTGCCATAGTGCGCCGAATAGTTAGACCGTGGTCTTGGGGGTCTTTGCAGTATGCCTACATATTATATATAGATGTATAAACCGAAGGATACTTTGCCCTGATAAGCACACAAGATGGCCAGTTCAAATCCAGATCACCAAACAATCAGGCGCACCGAACCGCGGCCGAACCACAAGCAACGGTCGCAGTTTTTTGTGCTCGGTCAATTGGGAAGTGCGACATGCTGGCACGGAGAATTATGAGTGTGGGCCAAGAAGAGCGGTAGAGACTGTACATTGAATTGCTCTGAGAAAGCCGTGACCGAGTTGGGTCCGGACTGTGACTGTAAGGCCTAGAGAATCTGTGCTACTTCATCCCGACAATGTAAACGTGGAACACCCTGAATGTAAACACTGGTGAAAACTTGCTCATCCTGCTCTGTAGAATGGCTTTCCGGTCCACGCAAGCCTGTCCTCTACGACGTCCTCGCTCGACTGAGCGGAACCGTGTCGGTGCTGAAAGACGCCGTTCGGTGAAACGGTGTGAGTGTAGCTCTGGCGACATGCCACTGAGCTCTGGTGAACCCGAAAGCCTCAAATCCGTGAAATCTAAGCCATAAACTGCCCTGCACTGCACATGTGAACCTTCCTTTCGGAAAGACCTCCGCTTAACTGAACTCACACAAGCGGGGTTGAAAAACGGAAAGAGCCGAGCTCGACACCGCAGCCGACCCGAAGCCCTGAATTGTTTCAGGGTCTTCAACAAGGAAAAGGATTTCGTGCAAGGATGCACGAACGGAGACTTCTCCACAAAAGACTAGCTGATGCATCTTCCTGCTTGGACCCTGACCTTAAGTCCCGTACGTGGTAATTCCTACAATTTGCTACATGACTCTGTTCGAGAATGCTGAACCCCACAACCCTTAGCCGTGGTTTTTGGCATGGGCTCTCTTTTTCTGTGGTTTCATGTTGAATGCCTATTACGCTAAAGACTCAAAACTAGAAATATCAAAGCCGAACACAAAGGTTGCTGAGTTTCAGGCATTAGCTGGTGTAGCATTTTCGAAGTTCCTTTCCTGCAAAGCCCTGTTCGTACTGATGCCCATGCATTGAACGTACAGTGCAGATTCTGCTGTAAGTGCTTACGGACGAGCAGGCCTAAACCCCAAGCCATGGAAAAGAGCCGGACCAGAGTAAGAACCCTGATTTTTGGACACGTATATACTTTAAAGTTCCAAATTGCGATACGATTCCCTGATTCACAAGAAGCCCCCCAAGGAACTGTGAACGACAGCTCTTGGTGCCGGGTGTGGTAAGGAAGTGGCCTTGGGCCGAGGCAAAGCGATCTTAGATTCCCAGGAAGCATAGAAGCAAAGGATGGTTTTTCAGCCCGTCAGTATGCATCACATGGCAGCTGATTTGGGAATCGTGCCTTAAAGCCTTAAGGCATCTGAACCGACTTCGGCATACATTGCACTGCACGGTTTGCTTGCGCTGCAAGCATCTTGATAAGGCATGCTGCGCTTTTTCGCCGACCATATCCCGCTTTAGCCAAGCTCATCGCCCCTTTGCACCGAACCAGAACCACAGGGTTTAGATCCACAGGGCTTGTTCGACAGAGTTGGCTTTTAGAGACATTTTAAAAACTCTAAAATACAAACAAAAACTTTTAAAGACGTTTAAACACTTTAAAATGCCAAAAAAAACGTTTAAAGACTTTTTAAAACTTTAAAACAAACAAACAAACCTTTAAATAATTTAAACAACTTTAAAATACAAAAAAACGTTTAAAAACTTTAAAATACAAACAACAAAATACTTTCAAAAACTTCGAAAAACAAAAAGAACTTGTAAATACTTTTATTTTTTAAAAAAAATAAAAACCAAATAAATACTTTTAAACAAAATTAAAAACAAAAAAACAAATTAATACTTTTAACAACTTTCAAGTACAAAAAACACAACTTTATTTTTATATTTTGAATTTTTGTTCCAGGAAGACGAAGATGAAGAAGACCTGGCACAGGGTTTAAAGTTTCAGGGTCTTTAGGGCTTGGGGTTAGAAGGCAGAGTGCCATAGTATTAGGGGATTGAGGGTAATGAAAGGGTTAGGGTTAGAGTTTCAGGGTCTTTAGTAAATTTAGGGTTTGGGCTTAGAAGGCAGAGTGCCATAGTATTAGGGGTTTGAGGGTAATGAAAGGGTTAGGGTTAGAGTTTCAGGGTCTTTAGTATATTTAGGGTTTGGGGTTAGAAGGCAGAGTGCCATAGTGTTAGGGTTTGAGGGTAATGAAAGGGTTAGGGTTAGAGTTTCAGGGTCTTTAGTATATTTAGGGTTTGGGGTTAGAAGGCAGAGTGCCATAGTATTAGGGGTTTGAGGGTAATGAAAGGGTTAGGGTTAGAGTTTCAGGGTCTTTAGTATTTAGGGTTTGGGGTTAGAAGGCAGAGTGCCATAGTATTAGGGTTTGAGGGTAATGAAAGGGTTAGGGTTAGAGTTTCAGGGTCTTTAGTATATTTAGGGTTTGGGGTTAGAAGGCAGAGTGCCATAGTATTAGGGTTTGAGGGTAATGAAAGGGTTAGGGTTAGAGTTTCAGGGTCTTTAGTATTTAGGGTTTGGGGTTAGTGCCATAGTTAGGGTTTGAGGGTAATGAAAGGGTTAGGGTTAGAGTTTCAGGGTCTTTAGTATTTAGGGTTTGGGGTTAGAAGGCAGGGTGCCATAGTATTAGGGTTTGAGGGTAATGAAAGGGTTAGGGTTAGAGTTTCAGGGTCTTTAGTATTTAGGGTTTGGGGCTAGAAGGCAGAGTGCCATAGGATTACAGGGCTCCCTGTGTTGCCTTTCTAAAGATCGCTTTAGGTAGTTAATTTTTTCAAGCAGGTTTCTGTGGAATTCTCCTCCCTGGTTCTGTCTCTCTGTATCTCAGACCTTCTGTCCCTCTCCTGGGTCTCCCCTCGTGTCACGGTCTCTCTCTCACTCTGTGGCTCTCTCTCTCTCTTTGTCTCTCTTGCGGCCTGAGGTAGTTGATTTCTTCAAAAAAGCAGGTTTCTGTGGAATTCTCCCTGGTTCTGTCCTTCTGTCTCCTGCTGTCTCTCTCCTGGCCTCCCCTCCCGACACCCCGCCAACGGTGTCACGCTCTCTCTCTCTCACTCTGTGGCTCTCTCTCTCTCTCTCTTTCTCTCTTTCCTTCTCTTTGTCGCTCTTGCGGCCTCCCCTGCAGTCTGAAGGCACTGTGCAGCCCTCGCCCTTCCACCCCAAGTGGGCGACAGAGCACTGGCGCTGTCCCCTCTCGGCAACATGCACCCCTGTGTGACCGCCGGCCGCACGGTCAGGGGGAGAGGATTGTCGAAACGGGTGAGCACAGGATCCTGCCCAGCAGACGCATTAGCCCATGTGCTCTGCTGTCATCCACCGAAGTGGGTTGGCCAGAAGCAGGAACGTATGGCACTTCAGTCCCGACACCCGGCCAACGGTGTCTCGCATGTTCTGCGTGGGTAAGGACAACGACAAAGGGGGTCCGTGTGTCCTGGATCAGTCTGCGACTACACCGTCAAGGCAGAAATGCGGCCGCTACAGATATCCCACAGCAATGCACGACAACACGACCAATCTCAACCTGACAGAGTGTGGAAGCTTACATAACTTCACTCCAAGCTCCAGGCGGCGAGGACGGCACATCTGTACCTGTGCCAGGGCGGCTCAGGCAACGAACTCTTCGTGACGGAATGATCATGTAAAAAGGCTTGACAAACGCAAGCACTGGTGAGTAGTTCAAGTTTGATGCGCAATTTTATGTCCGTTTCGCGACTTGTCCCCGTTGCCCCGGCGTGGACTGAATTTGCAGTCACACGAATCTTCGACGAGCCACCCGAATCTTCGACTCAAATGCAGCATCTCCATCCAACTGCTGGAATTGGCTTTGAGCACAAACCTGTGTAACATTTCTCAGAAAACAATAATCGGAGCACCCTCATCTCATGTGCGCACGAAGATTCGACTTCAGTCGATGACAAAGAAAAGCCCTGTGGACTCATGCTTTGAAACCCCTGCTCACCCCTCCTCAGTCGTCGACCACAGCTGCTCTCGTTGCTGCCTCCACTCGCGACCATCTTTCGACTGAAGCCACTCCTTCAATCTCGCTGCCGCTGTCGACTTCGTTTGCGGCTTGCCTGTGTAGAGTCTGACATCTAACCTACAATGGACCTACAAGCCAGAGAGTTGCCTTCAATATTCCACTCATGCACACAGTACATGACCCTTCCAAACACAGACACACCCGAAGCATTTATGCAATTTAGCCCTGATGCGGTCTGTGCTCAGAAAAGGCAGCGGGCCAAGCCGATCACCACCCGCCATCGCCCTTGTCAATGCCCGAACAGTGGCCTCATTCCACTCGACTGGTTTGTGCTGTCGCCTTCGCAATTGCATGTCGTGCGGGAGTGCTTCTCGGCAGACACGAAAAACAAGGTCGGGGTCATCCGCAGAACGGCCGGTGGCTTGAATGCTAGCTTGACTCCTGCGCTTTCGACTCTCCAGAGCAAAGGAAGTCCCCTGTTGGAGGCCCAGTCCCTCACGCCTCTGCCGAGCGCGTTGCTTCAACAGGGTTGTCTTGCCAAGGTCGTCACGAAGGACATGGCTTACTGCCTCGACTAATGCTCTGTCTCGCGTGGCACCCAACATCTTGACTTGACCGTCTCGCATGTG